GCAACTTAATCTGTTAATTTTTTAAAACAATTCATCAATACAAGTAGTAACCAAATATATTAAAGAATTCCCTTAAGAATTAAGCATAAACCATCTTTTTAATTCTTGAAATATACATAAACGCTAGTAAAACGCTCTGAAGATGTAAATTTGATAACATGCGACTTAAGTAATCAAGTACAGATTTATTTAGAAATTTAAAAAAAAATCAAGAAAAAGGATATCAATACAAAGAATGAAATAAAAGAGACAAGAAACATCTTGGAAAGTTTCCATTTCCTGGAAAGTGTTGAAAACGTTGGTACAATTGGAATTCTTCATTTATTTTCCTTTCGCTAAAGTGTGGGCAGCGAAATGAGCAGCTTTGGCAGCTTGGACCTAATCGTGGTTTAAATTGACGTATTTATAAATGATGCACATTGGGATATAAAAAATTAATTAAATACTTCAGGAGTATCTTGTGGAACGAAGTGGCCAGGCTGGGATCCACCAATGTTCCACAAGGGGTCGTGGTGAACAGCGCCAGCATTCCAGAGTGGATTATTTCCAAAAAGGTATTGTGGGGATCGCTTCCCTCTGGAACGAGCTTCGGCGTGGGCAGCGAAATGTGCGGCTTTGGCGGCTTGAACCTAGTTGGGAATAATTAAAAATCATGAGGAACATGAACTTGCACGCACTGATATTGACGGGTAGTCTTAAAAGGAAGTATTTTCCCGAAAGCTGCGAACTGATCAAACTCTAGTGTTAGAAAGTTTGACATCTGTATAAACTGTTGTATACTAGGTAGGTAGGTAGGTTTTATTAATTCAAGATTGATGCGGCCGCAGCCCTTACAATCATACATAATAATTCTTAATCATATTCTTACTATTTTTTTACAGAAAAAATAAAAACGTCTAAAAAAATGTCTAATTTAGTCAGTCCATATAATGAGTCTCTCGTACTTCATTCTCTTGTGTTAAGTAGTGATAAATATGTTTTAGTTTAGTTTCATTCAGATCTACATCAAATTTTACAAAATCTTTCCTGGTTGTTGGCAAACAATTATTTAATTTACCATTCATGATGTTACGTATTAGACTATAATTTGGGCACTCACATATAAAATAGTATAAATCTTCAATGTCTGAGTTACATAAATTACACATTGTATTTCCATCATTCTTGTAAATTATATTAACTGTTGTATACTATTTTATTATTGGCAAAGAACTTTCATCTTAAAAATTTTGCTATTTTATGACTTTGTTTATTAGATATAGTAATTAAATTTGAATCTGTTTAGGGGATTTTTAATAGTATTTCTACTTGTAATAATGTCCACTAATGCTAGACTTGCCTAACGAAATACTGGAACAAAAATTATCTATTAAAATTAGTATTAACTACATACTGGTTCGGGTGCTAAATCCGATGAAATTTTAAAATGTAAATCTAGGCGGTTAAAATGCATGTTTCGGGTGTCCTGCACCTGATTTTTATGCACATTTTTGTACTAATTTGAACATAATCAAGATTTGGATGGTTATTATTAATTTCTTTGCTGGCTAAATGAGAGATTTATATAAATGTGGAATACTTATTCTCGTGGAACTAATTGTCACCATATTCGTTCTTCTTGAATAATAATAAACAAGAAGAATATTTTGCACACATAGATAATTGCAAATAAATTGTATTCCAATTTACAAAAATAAACTCATCAAAAAAAACTTGGTTGAATATTCAAGTTTAACACGTTGAAAACAAGCTCCCATTTCCCACACGTACATGCGTAAATCAAATATTTCTTGGTAGCTTCAGACAAGTTTTTTTTTAAATGAGTTTATTCCCTGACAAGGGAAGGTCCATAAATTATGTCACGCGAGAGGGGGGGGAGGGGGCCAAGGCTCCAATGATATCGTGCATATGTGACACATGTTAAACAAGGGGAGGGGGGGGGGGGGTCTAGAAAATAACGATTTTTGCGTAACATAATTTATGGATGGCCCCTAAATTGCACGTACATACCTCCGGTGTGTCCTGTGGAACCCAGTGTGGGGCAGAAGATGCTGATCTAACAGCCCACAACGGATCCTGGTGAACAGATCCAGCATTCCAGAGTGGATTATTTCCGAAAAGGAATTGGGCCTGGGAGGCGCCGACGATCATTAAGAGAATCTACAAAAAATAATTTTAATATAACCAAATTATTTGAAGTCTCACCATGCCCCAGTCATGTTATGTGAGGAAGGGTATTTAATCGAAATTAACTTACAACTGCCTTCATTGTGTTGCGTTGTGATGGATGGAATAAAACAAATGTCACTCTGGATTAATTTTGGGTGGCTTTTATACTGGACATGACGCCATGGGATTATTTAATATAAAAAATTAATTGCTTTAAGAGATTGAGGAAGAGTAATGACTGTCATTGTTTAACTGAACCCATGGCAATTCCTGGGTTAAAAAATGATCCAGTTTTTGTGCAGCGATTGGCATTTGCAGTGATGATGGGAATAATAAAGATGCGTTGTGGAGATGCCCATTGATAGAATAACTAAAGTATGTATGTAGCAGTGTTTCTGCTGTTGAATAACACCTGCACGAAATTAGTGCACGAAAATGTTTTTAAACGTTTAATAACAACCATCAAAAATCCGGAAAAGTGCATGAAAATGCACGAAACTCATTTGCGGACAAATAATATTGAAATAATCCAATTTTTCCAAGTATTTTATTAACAATGCGATGATGTGAAGTGTAACCCTCCGATTTGGCTGAAATTTTAAAATTAGGTGGTCCAAGCCAATACAACTAACGTTTCTTCAGGCAGTTTGTGCGATGGTGAGAGTTACTCAAAATATTTGAGGTCAAAGTTCAAAAAACGGCCGACTTTTTTCAGGCGGAGTGAGAAAACTCCACTTCCATTCTCTTCCCCTCGCTTTGATTTTATTCAGGCGTCTCGCTCATGCATACGCCTTAATGCTCAAGCACAAGCTTTGATGCAAACTAATAAAAAATAAACATTATTAATTATAGCTTAAAGAGCAATTAATACGCATTATACATACTTAATTTAATTTATAATTAAATAAGTGAGATTTTTACTTATTTCTAGTACAAATTTACATAAAAGTTAATTTATAAATTCGCCAACGGCAAATAAACATGGAAAAACTTAACTTGCTTTCCATTTCGAAAGCGTTGGTTATTCTAATATCCAATTATATATTAATATTTTAAATGCTCCTGTGATTCGATATTGTTGGTACTCAAGCGGATCATGGGGTGATGACGAAAAGCCCGAGTTTAAAAATGTAAGCGAAGTTTGTTTTAGAGAAAAAAATATTAGTTGCGACCTGAATGGTGGCAATCACAAATTCATCAAATTCAGCTGGTGCAGTTTATCGTATTGTTTTGTGGACTTTTATGAAAATAATCATATAGTCACATGTGGAATGAATAATTAATATTTTTCTATAAAAAATTAAATTTAAAATTGTTGAAATGAATTATTTTTCGGAGTGAAAATCAAAGCGAGGGGAAGAGAATGGAAGTGGAGTTTATCAAGAACAAGTGATCAGAAAATATTTTCAATTGTTGATTTGTGCGCTTTCTTCCTACTGAAAAATAATGAATTGTAAAAAATCTAGCATTAAGAGTTTTTAGTTTTTCTAACTTTTAAATTTGAGAAGGTAAAGATAACAGTTCGTACAGCCCCAGATCAAGATCAAGAGACAGATCAAAGCCTGCAGCTAAAGATCAAAGATAAGATATTATCTGTAGTCTTTGATCTTGATCTGGTATCTGAGATAATGATCTTGCCCATCTCTAATGTATTTAGCTCCACAAGTGGATACACATTATTGTCAAAATTTAATTATTGAATGTATTTATTCTACCAACAGGAAAAGGTCAAAATCCCTGTTCTGCCGTAAACATGTGGGACAACCTCATGAGGGACGCAAACTGTAAAAACTGCGATAAGTATTTCCACTGCAAAGCGAACTATGAAGCGGTTAAGCATTGTGCTGGAATTCTTCAATCCGCGACTGCTGCTGCCATAAGCAATCTGCGCGAGTGGGCGCAAGGAAACGACACTCCAGATTCGGCCGCGGATCAAGCTGCGAATCGTTACGGGAGAAACGGAGGTAATTGTGCGGCCAGATATTTGCAAGCCGTCAATTGCGCCTGGGATCCTGCAAAACATCAATGCGGAGATAATATTCGTTATGAAGATATAAAAGTTTACGACCCTGGAATGCATCACAATTCATATTGAATGTGATCATTGTATATTTGACCTGTTGACATTGTGGGTTTTTCATGGTTTTCATGGTTCTCACATTTTACATTTCACTGCCATTCGTATTAATTTTTCCTTACAAATGAGCAACACACGATTACAATTACTTTGATAGCGATAAATTAACCACTACGTATTGCTAAATATATATTGCTACGAAAATTACCCATATTGATTACCCATATGGCCCATATACATTTTTCGTATTAAAAAATGAAAAATTGTTTTGCACTAAAATGCTAAAGCTATGAAGAAGATATCAAACAATAGCACAACGACTTCTCACTTAATAAAATACTTGGAAAAATTGGATTATTTCAATATTATTTGTCCGCAAATGAGTTTCGTGCATTTTCATGCACTTTTCCGGATTTTTGATGGTTGTTATTAAACGTTTAAAAACATTTTCGTGCACTAATTTCGTGCAGGTGTTATTCAACAGCAGAAACACTGCTACATACATACTTTAGTTATTCTATCAATGGGCATCTCCACAACGCATCTTTATTATTCCCATCATCACTGCAAATGCCAATCGCTGCACAAAAACTGGATCATTTTTTAACCCAGGAATTGCCATGGGTTCAGTTAAACAATGACAGTCATTACTCTTCCTCAATCTCTTAAAGCAATTAATTTTTTATATTAAATAATCCCATGGCGTCATGTCCAGTATAAAAGCCACCCAAAATTAATCCAGAGTGACATTTGTTTTATTCCATCCATCACAACGCAACACAATGAAGGCAGTTGTAAGTTAATTTCGATTAAATACCCTTCCTCACATAACATGACTGGGGCATGGTGAGACTTCAAATAATTTGGTTATATTAAAATTATTTTTTGTAGATTCTCTTAATGATCGTCGGCGCCTCCCAGGCCCAATTCCTTTTCGGAAATAATCCACTCTGGAATGCTGGATCTGTTCACCAGGATCCGTTGTGGGCTGTTAGATCAGCATCTTCTGCCCCACACTGGGTTCCACAGGACACACCGGAGGTATGTACGTGCAATTTAGGGGCCATCCATAAATTATGTTACGCAAAAATCGTTATTTTCTAGACCCCCCCCCCCCCTCCCCTTGTTTAACATGTGTCACATATGCACGATATCATTGGAGCCTTGGCCCCCTCCCCCCCCTCTCGCGTGACATAATTTATGGACCTTCCCTTGTCAGGGAATAAACTCATTTAAAAAAAAACTTGTCTGAAGCTACCAAGAAATATTTGATTTACGCATGTACGTGTGGGAAATGGGAGCTTGTTTTCAACGTGTTAAACTTGAATATTCAACCAAGTTTTTTTTGATGAGTTTATTTTTGTAAATTGGAATACAATTTATTTGCAATTATCTATGTGTGCAAAATATTCTTCTTGTTTATTATTATTCAAGAAGAACGAATATGGTGACAATTAGTTCCACGAGAATAAGTATTCCACATTTATATAAATCTCTCATTTAGCCAGCAAAGAAATTAATAATAACCATCCAAATCTTGATTATGTTCAAATTAGTACAAAAATGTGCATAAAAATCAGGTGCAGGACACCCGAAACATGCATTTTAACCGCCTAGATTTACATTTTAAAATTTCATCGGATTTAGCACCCGAACCAGTATGTAGTTAATACTAATTTTAATAGATAATTTTTGTTCCAGTATTTCGTTAGGCAAGTCTAGCATTAGTGGACATTATTACAAGTAGAAATACTATTAAAAATCCCCTAAACAGATTCAAATTTAATTACTATATCTAATAAACAAAGTCATAAAATAGCAAAATTTTTAAGATGAAAGTTCTTTGCCAATAATAAAATAGTATACAACAGTTAATATAATTTACAAGAATGATGGAAATACAATGTGTAATTTATGTAACTCAGACATTGAAGATTTATACTATTTTATATGTGAGTGCCCAAATTATAGTCTAATACGTAACATCATGAATGGTAAATTAAATAATTGTTTGCCAACAACCAGGAAAGATTTTGTAAAATTTGATGTAGATCTGAATGAAACTAAACTAAAACATATTTATCACTACTTAACACAAGAGAATGAAGTACGAGAGACTCATTATATGGACTGACTAAATTAGACATTTTTTTAGACGTTTTTATTTTTTCTGTAAAAAAATAGTAAGAATATGATTAAGAATTATTATGTATGATTGTAAGGGCTGCGGCCGCATCAATCTTGAATTAATAAAACCTACCTACCTACCTAGTATACAACAGTTTATACAGATGTCAAACTTTCTAACACTAGAGTTTGATCAGTTCGCAGCTTTCGGGAAAATACTTCCTTTTAAGACTACCCGTCAATATCAGTGCGTGCAAGTTCATGTTCCTCATGATTTTTAATTATTCCCAACTAGGTTCAAGCCGCCAAAGCCGCACATTTCGCTGCCCACGCCGAAGCTCGTTCCAGAGGGAAGCGATCCCCACAATACCTTTTTGGAAATAATCCACTCTGGAATGCTGGCGCTGTTCACCACGACCCCTTGTGGAACATTGGTGGATCCCAGCCTGGCCACTTCGTTCCACAAGATACTCCTGAAGTATTTAATTAATTTTTTATATCCCAATGTGCATCATTTATAAATACGTCAATTTAAACCACGATTAGGTCCAAGCTGCCAAAGCTGCTCATTTCGCTGCCCACACTTTAGCGAAAGGAAAATAAATGAAGAATTCCAATTGTACCAACGTTTTCAACACTTTCCAGGAAATGGAAACTTTCCAAGATGTTTCTTGTCTCTTTTATTTCATTCTTTGTATTGATATCCTTTTTCTTGATTTTTTTTTAAATTTCTAAATAAATCTGTACTTGATTACTTAAGTCGCATGTTATCAAATTTACATCTTCAGAGCGTTTTACTAGCGTTTATGTATATTTCAAGAATTAAAAAGATGGTTTATGCTTAATTCTTAAGGGAATTCTTTAATATATTTGGTTACTACTTGTATTGATGAATTGTTTTAAAAAATTAACAGATTAAGTTGCATTGAAAGTTAGATAATAACTAAAAGCTCAAAGTTTTCCCTAACCTGAAAATAAATAAATAATTTTTGCAACCCACCGCCACGACAAAGCGTTACCATGCTAATTCTAACTCCCTCGCGGTTGCCCTCCGTCTCGGCTGCGATATTTGTGAGTTGCATAAATGCCCGTGTGGGGCGATGGTCACGTCTCGCTGCTATCATGGCCTATCCTGCCGCCGGAGCGCAGGTCGTTGGTCCCGCCACGAGACCGCCAACGACGTGATTGCCAGAGCTCTCCGATCGGCCGAAGTACCCTGCATAAGGGAGCCCCCAGGGTGCTCTACCCTGGTCACGAGGGAGATCCCTGGTCTGGGACTTTACCTGCGCCGACACGTTCGCCTCGAGTCATCTCCCGGACACCATACGCCACCAGGGCGCTGCTGCCAGGAAAGCCGAAGGAAGGCAAGAAGAAGAAATACGCCTTCCTCCTGGACCGCTACATTTTTGAGCCCGTTGCCATGGAAACTACGGGAGTGTGGGGCGAGGAGGGGTTGACCCTCATCCAGCAAATTGGGCAGAGAATTTCCGCCATATCTGAGCAGGGCAATTCTGCCAACTTTCTCCGCCAACGACTTTCCCTACCCGCTCAACGAGGGTCTATTTTGGGGAAACTCCTCCAGGAAATGAACTGGAGGAAGTGTATTATTTGTAGTCAGCCTGCTTTACCCTGTCACGATTTTTCTGCCATTTTATACGATTTTCTACGATTTATTTTGATTTTTCTTAAGTGAGGCATATCTGTACGACCCTGGTAGTCAGCTTTTCTATTTAATTTTATATGTGATTTTCAACTCTGCGACACACACATTAATTAATTCGAAATAAATTTTAAATTATCTAAATTATTTAAATTATTTAATTTTAAATTTTAAACTCATTAACTTGAGATTCCCTCTAATTAATTAATTCTAATTCTAATCCCAATTCCCTCCGCATCACAAATGTCAAAAAGAAGGAAGGTGATTTTTTTGTGACTTCAATTTTATTTAGTATTTACCATGTATGTATGCAGCATAGATGATAGTACAGTATTGTCATATTTAGGATTAGTACATAGTGTAAAACAAATTGAGCGCGATAATTTGCAAGATTTTTCAAATGCAGGAATTTTCGTGATTTTAATTTTTTCGGACAATTACTTTCCGTCAGTTATGAAACAACATCTGGTTAGTCCTCCCGAAGTATGAGACATATTTCAAGTCCTTCCTGTGAAGCTAGGATTCGAATCTTCCATGACAGTTGGCGAAATCTGTTTTCCATATTTTGAAATTAGTAATGTCATGACAAATGAGGTTGAGGAATTTTATTAATTTGCATACCGTAAATATGTACATGATTTCCTAATCGGGTGCAATTTGTTTTACAGTATGTATACTATATATAAGTTAATAATATTTACCCAGTCTCCATCTGTCTGCCGAGATCAATATCCAATACCCCGACGAGATTGGAGGATATATATTATCGTAGCAAATTTAAAGCTTCAAGTAAGGTATGTATACTCTAAATAAAAATAACTAAAATTTGCCCAAGGTTTATTAAAAAAGAGGATGACACAAGAATTGGGTAAAATTTTCACAAATTTTATAAATTTTACACAACCGTTGGATACATTTTACACAAGTTGAATGGGGGACAAGCCATCGAACAAGTGACATGTTTTAAATACTTAGGACTGCATGTTGACTCTGTGCTTTGGTTTAATACCCACTTTCAAATGGTATTAAATAGCGTCTCAAGTAATCTGTGGGTATTAATCAAGTGGAATCTTCAAATTAAATCCGAATAAAAACTATTTACATAAATACTTTTACAAAAAAAGGATTCTTAGCCTCAGCATAGGTTCCGGTAAATCTTGATATTTTATCGTACACATTTTTCAGAATAGGCATTGGCACAAGTATAAGATATAAAATGAAATTTGCAATATCTTTAGATGCTTTTGATTGAATCGCTAGCAGTTCATATCCATTTTACATTATTTGCACTCGTCTGATATTGGTTGGGTAGAGGGAGTAATTATGCAATCTAGCAAGAAAACATGAAAACAGCAAAAAAGCAAAATAGCAAATTTTTGAACTGCAATTTTCTGGTAAGTAATGTTAAAATTTTAAATTGCAAGGAAGTTGTTCTAATTTAAGTTTTACTTTAATCCTGTCATGATATCCCTGCAAATTATAAGGATTTTGGCAATTAATTAGTCAATTTCAATTAATGCAGATTAATTATGATTTCGAACTGATGCATCAAGATTCATCACTTCCTTCGCCTCTGGCCATCAGCAGCTCCTAAAATTGTTCAAAAAGCAACCTAAATTTCAAAATCTCCAGGATTACAGAAATTCATTTTAGAACGCGCAGGTGAGCCTCAAGTCTTGAAATTGCTAACTAAATTATTGCAACAATTTTTATAACATAAAACTTTCCAAATTATTAGGAAATTTGGACGTCAATATTGCTGCTGTGCTCTGTCTTTTGTACCTCATCCCCCCAACAGCTCAAGGAAAAGGAAAGGGGAGCCGTTCCAAAACTGATGACGCCAAGGACCTCTTATTATCGTATTTTAAGGTAAAAATTAAAATCACACATATTTTAAATTTATTAGTGTATTATTTATGCTACAGACCGGCACTCCACTCCAGTCAATCCTAGACACTTGGAAAATCGAAAAAAGTCAGCCGAATCTGGTTTGCCTGGGAGATACGACGAAGGACTTGAATTCTTTCTTCATAATTTGTGATCGTCGCATCCTTCCGATAGCTGCGTTAAACACCACTCAAGCCATTGACACAGTTTTCAAAGCCCACTACGTCTTTGCAACCGAGTACGACAAGAGCTTATCTGGAATTTGGAAGTTTATCCAGGTCTACGTGTATAAATTGAGACGTGAAGACAACGTAACTTCCAAGAAAAGTGAAGCAAGTTTATACGCAATTAGGAAGTGTATTTGATCAAGATGTTTAAGTGTCATGAGTGCTTCAAATATTTTGATACAATTTTAGCAATTAAGGATCAGTATAAATATGTCCATATTTACGGCCACGTGAATTTTAACAGTATTATTTGTCCAAGTGAATCTTGTAATACGATGATTAGTACCTGGAGCGGTCTATGGCGTCATTTGAAAGCGTTTCATAACAATTCGAGTAGTTTAGACATAATTGAAGACTGCAATATCCAATTTACTCCTACAAATCACGAAATTAATCCTACGTTTACAAATTTTGAGCACATTGGAATAAGAGAAGAAATATCGATCGATTTAGGAGTTGAATTGATTACTGATTTGCTTCATAATTTTTGTTCCTCCTTATTGGCAAATGGAGTGAATAACTCCACTGTACACTTTGTTGTAAAAGAAATAAAGTATAGTTTTTCAAATATTTTAAATTTAATTCTCAAAATTGCGAAAAAATATTGTATCCAAGACTATGAAGAATTTTCTAGTAAAATCACAGGATTATTGTCAGCATTTTCCAAAGTAAAATCCTCATATCTGCGACAAAAGCTGACAACTGTAAATAATAATGTTATTTTACCAGTAGAAATAAGTTTAGGTAGTAGAACGGAAATGGCTGAGAAAATAAGCGACAAAAAGTAGTGCAGGACACATTTATGTATATTCCAATTTTGAAGACACTAGAACAAACAATTAGGTGCCCAGAATTGTCGAAATATTCTAATAGACCTAAACCTGCTAACAGTGTCGTGTCGTCTGGACATTTCGAGATTTCGATAGCTTTAAAAATAACGAATTATTTAGTAAGTATCCTAACGCCTTTCAAATTCAATTATTTTACAATGATTTTGAGACCGTGAATCCATTGGGATCAAAGAAAGGTGTTCACAAGCTTGGTGCTTTATATTTTACTTTGAGAAGCTTTCCAGATTTATTAATTCCAAACTTACGAATATTTATTTACTTGCTCTGTTCTATAGTGAGGATGCAAAAAAGTATGGTTATAATTTAATATTGAATTACTTACTACCTGACCTAAAACTTCTAGAAAGTACGGGAATAACGTTAATGAACCACACCTTTTTCGGAACACTATGTACATTGTCACGCGATAATCTAGGCGCAAATTCCCTGCTAGGATTTAGCGAATCTTTTAACGCAAAATATTATTGTAGGATATGCTGCACTTCAAAGTCAGACGCGCAATTAATTTTTGATCATTCAGAAATGGTAATTAGGGATAGAGATAACTACTCAACTCATTGAGCTGACTTATCTCATGGTGTTTCAGGTTCCTGTGTCTTAAATGAACTTAAATATTATAATTTTATGGATTCTGCAACTGTAGATATAATGCATGACATTTTGGAAGGAGTCGTTCCATATGAAGTAAAAATAGTAATACAAAAATTAATTAGTTTAGGTTGTTTTACTTTGGATATTTTTAACCAAAGATTATTATCACCTGATTTTGGAAAATTAGAATCGAGAAATAGACCTAGTCCAATAAAAATAGATGGCAAAAGTAATCGTATTGGCCAAAAAGCATCACAAGCATGGTGTTTGATTAGATTTTTGCCAGTTATTTTTGGTGATTTGATTCTGACACAGGAGCAAATTAGTTATTGGGAATTATTAATCCAGTTGCTCGAGTGCATGAGTTATTTGTTTTGTCGAAAGTTTTCTGAATCAACACTAGAGTGTCTTAAATATAGCATAATTAAGCATCACAAATTATTTATAAAGCTATTCCCGGATAATAGATTAATTCCTAAGCACCATCTTATGTGCCATTTTCCGCATGTAATAAGAAAGTGTGGCCCACTAATATCCTTATGGACCATGAGATTTGAGGGGAAACACAATTATTTCGCACAACTTGCCAGTCGCACAAAAAATTTCAAATAATATTTGTTTTTCTTTAGCCCACAGGCACCAGCAGTACAGTGCTCATTCGTTCAAAAACATAAATATTGCAGATGGTTTAGAAATGGACAACATTTTTGAAGTCAAACTATCCAATTTTCTTGAATCATTTGATGTTATTGAATGTCTCCTAAAGGTTGAAAATTGTGAAAATTATTCTCAAGACACTGTTGTTTATACCACCAATCAAATCTGGTACAGGGGTTATAATTATAAAGTTGATTATGTAGTTTGTTATGAAATGGGTCCAATATTTCCCAAGTTTGGAATAATTTCGAGTTTTCTTGTGATAAGTGAAAACAAATGTCTCATGGTATTGAAAGAAATAGATGTAGAGCATTTTGATGGGCACTATTTTGGATTTAAGATAATATTAAAAGATATTATAGTTCTAGTAAATGTTGAGAATTTAATTATCCATGAATGTATGGAAATTCATAGAAATTGTAAGACAGACGGGTTATTTTTAGTGACACGACATTATTTGTAAAACTATTGTACTGGTTATTATAAAGTTATGCTGTAAAAAGTGAATAAATAATTGTTAAATGCGTAATACAATTTTAGTACTTCATTTAATGTAACACCAAAAAGTATCACCATTTGCAAAATTTTAGTAATAACTAATTACCTCACGGTAATCATCATAACCATATTATCAGCCCAAAGTAATCCAGTATTACCTCGTTTGTTTGGATGCAGCTACCCACTTTGTTATAGATATTACCTCAAAGTAAGTGATTATTGCCGCTGTGGTGACATGCTCCTTCATCACCAAATGGTGAACGGCTAGCCTTGTTGCCAGCAGGGTAACCATCATCACCGATTTGGTGACGACGATTTGGTGACAGAATTATTTTGAGTGTAGACTTGCTTTTTTGCTTTTTGGGGAACACTGGTGGTTGAGCTTGAATGACACCACGAATTAAATTAACACTTGCCAATTTCAATAGAAAAAAGGCAGTGTGCATACTTATTTTAAATCTCTGCATAAAAGCGATCCAGCCTCACTTGCCTTTGACAGATGCATTTATTTGTACGTAATTTGTTACAAGTTCGGTGATAAACCAAAAATAAAAATCGTATTTAAGTAGCCGCTAGAATTTAACAACCAATAATTTTTCTTCCCATAATTTTATGTTTTATGCAACGTAATACAGCCGAATAACCAACCCGCAAAAACCACCAGTTTCAATTTGTATGTTTGATAATGAAAAACTACAATTTTAATACTTGTTGATATGTATGTATGTATGTACTTATTTATTTATTGATATATGGCCTACAGAATTATCAGCATGTCACAAAGTTTACATAATGGAAATATTAGGTTGTCTCTCAGTAATAAGTCGTAGTAATTATAAACATCAATCCAAAACAAAATAATGAGTAAAAGAAAGTTTCGATTTGTTCTGATACAACTATACATTTCAGAAAGTGGGGAAAAATCTTTAACATATGCAAACATACAAATATCTATCTCTACTGGGAGTGAGAAATCCACATTTTATTGCGAGGTGATCAAGGGTGACGTGAACTCCTGATGTACAAAACGGAGAGCACGTGTTAATATTTACTTTTCTAGCGTCAAGTCTTATGGAGTACTCGTAGGGATTTGTAGTTGAGATATGATGCTGGAGAGTGTAAAGGGCAGTTTCATTGTTAAATATCGCTCTCTGAATATACAAGAGTTACATTTCTGTGGGTGAACAAATTAAGATTGGTCCTGTCAAAATGGTAGTGCAATAGGCATTTTATGATCTGTGGATTATGGATTTATAAATTTTTTTTTTCATCAACTTGAAATTCAATTTATATTTTATAGTAAATATTTGAATCATGTATATCCTCCCGCGGTGCTTAGGAAGAATATTAATTAAAATCGAAAAAAATATACGGTTTGACGGGAATTAATTGTGACAGACATGTATTTGAATTGTGGCAAGTATTATTAACTTTGTGACAATGCATATCATCTAACTAAGCACATGCCCCGTATAAAAAGTGGAAATGCCTTCTGAAAAAGCCCTTTTGACATGCAGCCCCAACTCCTTGAGCAGGGCATGACGAGTCGGCCAACGGGCCTCGGAAGGCCATACCTGTCTGCATACTATAACCCAACCCGTATCTCCAATAGGTCACCCAATGCTGACAATTGCACTTGTATAGATTATAAGTAGTTGGGACTTGGCCGTAGAATTTTACTGAGGCACGAGCCCTTGAAATAATTTCGTCCGTACTATCAGGAGTTTCGCATTTTACTTTGCACAGGTAATTGTCGAAGGCGGCAGTAACAACGACGCATTGGGTATAATGTCCATTGGTTGCAGATTCGAAGGGTTCTTCCTTAATAAATGTTGTTCCGTACTTACTGCCCCCAGCACCTGTGATGTATATATTGTTACCATTCAAATCATATGAATTTTAAAAAAATCAATTGATATAATTTATATGCACTCTAAATAAAGTTGTGTGAAATTTACTCAAATTCGCGTAAAAACGAGGATGACACAAGAGTTGGGTAAAATATACCTATCGCCGAGTAAAATTTGCCAAACGTTGTATGATTAACGTACAACGTTGAACAAATTTTACTCGGCGATAGGTAAATTTTCCCAACTGTGGTGTCATCCTCTTTTTTACTCGAATTTGAGTAAATTTCACACAACTTTATTTAGAGTGTGATTTTATTGTGATTGTAGGAACACTGAAATGGAAAATTTTAAAATAAATACAGTACCTGGAGCATGAATAACATTTCTGTTATATGAGCCCAACAATTTGTGAGTGGCAAATTGATTGATGACACAGGCAATAATGTCGCCAGGGTGGAATTTTAGATCTTTCGGTGATACCATTTTATAATTTTGCCCTAATGTTTGTCTATTGAGTTGAAACAGTATTAAAATGAAAATACAGGCACCAACTTTAGTTTCCATGGTTAGTAAATTTAGTATGCTTGTACTACGAATACGAATACGAATACGAATTGAGTACGAATACGTCAACCTTCTTGGTTTGAGGTTTGATTATGAATGCGTGACTGTAGCATCTTTAAAACAAGTCAAGGAAGCTAAAAGCAAGGATTTTTACTTGGTGGAACACTGGTTTAGAGGAAGTATGTGAAGTCAAAGTCCAACCAAGTTACTTGGAAACAATTTATGGGATTTACTGAACATTAGCAAGGTTGGTCATAACAGAATGATCGGAGTGTCACTCTTGAACATTTCATGGTATTTCGTGTATGTATTTTCCACTATAAAAGTCATCACTGTCATATTTATTAATGTGCTCTGATTAACTCCACTCAATGCTCGGTCTTGTAGAACACGCATTAGCATGTAACCCATAAAATTAAACTCAACTTGGAGAGTACATAAGCATGGTAAATACAGATTTATGTATCTTAGAGGAGAGGCACAATGAAGCATTTGAGGGATTGTGACTCAACAGGGTTTTGTAAGTCTTTTAAATCTTTTTGAGAGGGGTACAACAAATTACTCGGCATTAATTGCAAGGTAAGAATCGCAAGTCTCGGTGTAAATTTCTTGTGTCCCCAATTTTAAATTTTGTAGTTTAGGACGAATTTGGGATCTGGAGCAGTAGCCGGGTATATTCATACGGAGGAAGATACCTTATGACGTTACATATAAATATATAAGTGTTATTCATATAGACATATGAATTACGATAAATTAAAGGGATTTCCGTAAATCAGCCCCTTAAGCCTGCCACAGTGTAACCTCTCATTAGGAGCCGTATCTACACACGTCGCACAAAATTCATCGCCAAAAATTCATTTTTATTAATTTTTACAATTTTGTAATCCCAGGTACTATCACGCAATAGGTGATGGTCTTTCTTGAACATTTGAAATATATGAGCCGCGCCCCTGTCCCAAAAAATATTAAATTTCACAAAATTTCAATACATCAATTTCGAATCATAGTGCAACTATCTGGGAACAAAAAATACAGAAACAATGAAAATTCGGTAAAAATTGGATCGTCGGAGAAGGTTCTACTACGCCAAATTGATAATTTAACGCCAATTCAAACTCGTGTGGCGAGCTACCGACTGGAATCAATTTTTTTACTTCTCGCATTTGAGTATAGGGAGATAATTCAAAATATTTTATGCCCAAACCTCTGATTTTGAAGTCCCTGTAACATTTTTAATTTTGGCGAGATTCAAGAGATTCAAGAAGAAAAAAAATATTGCAGCATTATTTTATTTTGCGACGAAATCTAATCCTAAATATGTTTATTATGTTGGTTTTAGTTGTGTGTTCATTTATTTTTGGTGGTAAACATCACATATTTTGTGAGAAAATGTGTTACTAAATCTATATTTTGGGGATTAGTAAAAAAATTTTGGGAAAACTACACGTGCGGTTATTTCAACCGGTTGTTCAACCGGTTGTTCCTGTTTTTATTCATTCAGTGCGGTACACTTTTCTGTTAAATTGACCTTCTAGATTTATAACTTTGATTTTAATAAAAATCCAAGAATCCAACAATTCTCCGGATTTCCCAACGCAATGGCATAGCTTCTCCTCACCTTGAGGTTTGGACCAAAATATTTATTTCGAATTTAGAAATCATGCATGCAAAATATGATAAATATTTAACAGTTCCCCCCCTATGAATTTCGATCCGCTTGATTTACTGTTTTTAATTAATTGATATATTTCCAATTTTAACACATGGTAGATAAATAAATTTGTTTGTGGGGTCATATTGGTAGTTATTTTGTATTAGGTTTATTATATTGACACTACTTAAGTAAGATCTCTTTGTTAAAATCAGCAAATCTAATTTATTTACTTTCTGCCAACTGGACCTCCTCCCGTGCATTCTTGAACATCGCTGGGATAATTGGCATCACAACATCCCTTCTTTCTCCAAAAATCACTGCTTGTCCAGGCAGTTTCATACGCTGTGTCGTAAATGGCCAACTTTCCTTGAGAGAATGTCATCCGGTTCCCCAATCCTGTAGTTGCAGTGGAGTAGACGATTTTTCCACCTCTATTGAAGACAACGAGATTTCCATCCTTTTGAAAAACTGCGCGCCGGCCGCAGGGTCTAGTGTCTGAGGCCCAAATGGATGTTCCCTTACCGTCATAAATGACGAGGTTTCCATCACTTTGGAAGGTAAGACGTCCATCCCCTCCTTCCTCGCAATTCACAACTTCTTCTCCCGGAAACCATTCGCACGCCCCGGAAGCCTTCCCGATAAAAAAGTAGACGAAGAAAAGACCAATGACTGATATGTGGACCATTGTGGTGAATATTAAACTCTCTGTAATATTGTGGAAGGTGTTAAAAATTAAAATATAAAAATTTTAGATAATTTCCAAACCTGAGGTATGACTGGATGGTGATGGTGGCAGTTTTAGTTTATTTATCCAAGAAGGCTGCAGACAAACAATTGAAGATTGAATTTAGAAGTAAATTCTTAATATAGTAAATTTTTTTGTTGGAAAAGGCATTTAATGGTATACTTGGAAAGGCAAACCTGTTGCATTTCTTGGAAAAGTGAATATGTAGGTTTGTGCTTACACATGTACTCGACTTGAAAGTGTGTCTGAAGAAGGTATAGCTTTTGAGAAACTGGTTTTCTTTAATTTTGTCTACGTGACAACTAAAACGTGCATGAGTTTAAATAAGGCAATAAGTGGGCTAGATTCCTACGTCATACTATGGGTTGAATCACTTCATTTTATGTCCATTACCCAGTAAACCTATGTACATACATTGCATTGGTAAAATTGCAGAATAATATCTGACAAAAGTAAGATTATTTATAAAACAGGATTAGTTATCAATAAATTAATAGATAGTTAGAGTTTGTGACATCCAAGCACAAAATTCAGTTTGTTGTCAAACCACCAAATTCTATGGAAGCGGAGGTATCCAGTGTATAAATGATTTAAAAATTCAAATATAGAAATCAAGAGAGCCAAGTCAGTTGAGAAAAAGATATGTATATACGTTCTTCAAACTTTTTCTTTCTTTAATGTCTGGCACTATACAGAACTATTAGTTTTTCGATAATGGTGGGACTTAATTGATCTTTTCGTTGAAGGGGACAAACTTTATTGATTTTCTGGGATTCATTTTGTTGTGCACTAAATGCCTGGTGAAGTCAATTATCAAAATAATTCAAGCCCTTATTGCAGTTAAAGGAGGCCACAAAAATATTAAGTACCGCATCATTACATTGCAATTCTCATTCTTCGGCATACAATTATTTATAGAATTCGCAATATTTGTCCAATTCGTTCCAAAACTGGCGAGTATGTAGTAGGATTGATGATGAAGTTGTATACAAAGAACTCGAAAATGTTTTGCCGTTCTTAAGATAATGCAAAATGTACCAGGGTATTCCGACCATGGGTTATTGGGTTTAGGTTTTTGGGATTTAATGGGTTACAAATTAATAAAACCCATTTTGGGTATTACCATGTTAAATTGGTTTAGGTTTTGATTAAGTTTTGATGGGTTTTATTCCAATTTTGCATAGTTTTACCAGAAAAATGCATTTCAAAAGTGAAAAAGATTTCAGCTACTTAAAAAAAGTGATTACAATACGATTGAGCAACTTATTTCACTTTTATTACTCGTATTTACATAATTATGATGAAAATCAATCATGGACGCTAACCCTAACAAAGTTGATATTTATAAAATTAAATTTGTAGATTAAAAAATCTTTGTTTATGTTGAATACGGAATTGGATATGCTTGAATTTAAAATTGCAATAGATACAAAATATTTCTCGTTGAAATTGTCGATAAAACCCATTAAAACCCAAAAAAACCCGTGGGTCGTAGCTTTTTTATAAAACCCTGGTATTTTCGAACCCTTATATATACTAAACGTTCATATGTGCATACACATTCTTATTTGTGCATATTGAACATATGGGGAAGTTCTTAAACTTCATAACGCAAAGGGGAGTCGGTGGGTGGTCATTTCCCAGTGACATTGTGCCTATGTCAGAAATGTTTAAGGGGGTTGGGTGAGTGTCCAAGAAAATTTGCGTTATGAAGTTTATGAGCGTCCCCTATGCACGTTATGCACACATGATGCAAAATTAAATTACATATTTTAGTAAATTGATAACATTGCAGTATGGAAAATTGACCACAGCCTTGTTGTCTTCAAGTGGTAGTTAAACTACTTTGATATAAAAACTACTTCGTTAACTTGAACTAGGTTGCACTTCTTGACATCTTCAAATAAGATAATTCCAATATATGCCTTTTATTACTTTGATATTGATTGGTTGAGGATGACTCCCGTCCAAAATAGAATAAGGTGACACAATTTATATTGAAAAATACCAGTACAGGAAGAAACAATAAATATTTATTTTTTTTTGTTTGATGCGATTTAGTTCAAAAAGTCCGTTAAGTTATGGAATCTGGTTGCAGTCAATATTTTTTTTATCCTCATAACTGCTGCATATTAGACAATGGCTACATCAGCACAGTTCCTGAATGTCTGAGCAGGTTCTGGATTGTGGCACTCGGGGTCTAATTAGTATATTTAGTAGAAAATTGCTCACCTTATGGAATGGGACAATACAATTTAGGATAACTTACTTGGTGGGTATGAAGTCCTGAAAGTTTTATATTTGTGTGTATAGTACGGTTGAAAGATCGACAAATTATGTAACTATTGTGTTTACCTGTAGGTCCATCTAAGAGTACAACGTGAGCATCTTACTCCAGACGGAAGTTGAACTCTAGCAGTGGCAACTGCAGACCCGTTGGGAACGCAGACACGATTATCCCACATTGGGAGGTTGGAGCTAACAATGGTGAGCGTTTGGAAACAGCTGTCAGTTTCCGTGACCTGTGGGCAGAGTTCAACTTGGAATCCACCTCCATGCGCGGCACTAATGTCAGCCGTTATCTCGATAATCTAATACAAAGGGTTAGATTGTTAGTCCAACGTTGGTAGACTAATTATAGTTTATATTACCGATCCAGATGTGTAAGTCTTTTCGATAACTCCTTTATCGTAAATTCCTCCTTGGGAGGCATCGCTGTTGCCAGCTGCTTCTCCACATCGTCCACAACTCGAGAAGGACTGATCTTGTTGAACTGGTTAAATAAAATGTTCTATGTAGAGAATTGTAATGGCTAAATTATAAATGATAAAGTACCGTTGTCGCACCACACCCCAGAGTTGTCATACCAGTATGGTGGCCTGTATGGCTCGTCGGGTGCCAAATGTCGCGATGTTCGAGCAAGCGGGTCCTGCAAGTAACCATGGGAATCTGCCAAGGCCACCATTCCCAGACAAACGGCGAAGTAAAGAAGATTCATTTTCTAAACTTTGTTTCTGAAAACTTATGAATAACAGTAATGCAATAACTTCAGCTCGTGGCCTTTCTATATGTAGCCTGTGTGGCGATTCTACTCTGGCAAGTAATCTTAAGTGGCAATTTGTTGAGGAATTTAATTTGAGTGATAGTAATTGAAATTTGATAAAAGTTGTTTTTGTTATTACCTGGAGCCAGTGTTGCATATTTCCCTCCAAAACACTTTTGCATAGGAGAATGGGGAAAAGTGATTTTAACTACCACTTTTCCATACTTGGCAATAGGGAGAACGGAGCGCCACCTAGCGGCATGCAGGGGCGCCATCTAGTATAATCACCTGAAGAACTAACTTTTGCCCACTTTTCTCCATTTCCCACTTATTTTAGTAGGTTGGAAAAAGCGTCTTTTTCCCACTTTTTCACACTGTCTGGAAAAGATGGTTTAAACCACTTGCAATACTGCTTGAAAAGAGTGGAACATATCTAACCCTTACAAGTTGATTTTATGTAGAATGGAACTACAAGGTATTGTCAACGTGATACCCACATGATGCAATAAGCAATTACAGATTTAATTGGTATGATAAAGCGACGACTGACAAATTCCATTGTGATGTTGCAATTAAATCAAGAAATATGCTTTGCGGTGTGCAAATGTGGAAGAAGAGTTATTATTTTTGCATAACGTGGCATTATTTTGTTTTTGCATAAACCCCGATATTAATTTATAGTTACTGCGGAGTTATGGCTTTGAGATTGGGAGGGCCAAAAGGGAACTACATGGCACCACCACTTTGTCTAACAAACCACGCATCATGAAATACGCAGAGACGAGCATTTGGACGCACCCAAGCTAATAGATGAGCAAATATCGTACTGAGCTGAATGGGGACAGGAGGAACGAAAAAGCCTCCTCAAACCACTTTTCTCTCGGCTGTTTTCATTTAAAAATTTGAGAAAAGACTAAACACATGTGAATTGTCAACAATGCAAATAATGTGAAATTTAAATTTCATCCTAGACATTTGAAATTTGGCACGTATATGCATCAAAGTATTGTGCATCTTAATATGTAATCAGTTCCTGTTTCAATTACTTAAAGTTTTTTGCAAAAAAATGAAAACCAACTGACTTCTCGTTATTTACTATTTGAACACGTCATTTCAATAAGTGATAACTTTTGATGGAGACATGTTTTTCAAATTCTGCTTACGTAGGTCAATTTATGGTCGATCCAGAAAAGGTAGACGATCGGAGCACGATTTTGAGTTTCTCTCGATACCATGCAGCGTAAACTCCCAGTCTCTCGCTCTGCTAAGTTTTGGAGAACCACAACTCAAACCTTTTGGGTGTCGCCCTTATTTTGGGGTGGTCCGACACCCCACCAAACATACATTTTCTTGTTGAACCTTTCCAACGATATAAACAAATTTTTGAAATTTTCACAGACAGCCATGTTCTCGCCATTTCCCTAATATTTGACGGATCGTCTACCTTTTCTGGATAGACCATAGTATGTTTTGTAGCAGTTTTTAGAATTTTTTCAGAATTTTTGCGACCCAATTAAAATTCAGTAGGTTTTCTGGGGGAGTGCCTCTAGGGGCGCGGTTCCTTTTATGATTGGCATAGTTTGAGATAGCACATAATGGAGGTACGCATTTAATTAACCTATGTTCAGAATTTCATCGAAATCGCCTAATAATTGCCAAAAGCGCTGCGTGGCGAAGATTTACAAAATTTTACGCCATGCAGCGCTTTTGCCAATAATGAAGCGATCTTGATAAAATTTTGAATATAAGTTAATTATATATGCATCTACATATATATGGATATGGATGTTATTAATGGATGTTATGGATATGGATATTATATATATGGATGTTAAAACTCGACCAGTCGAGTTCAGTTGGAGTTACATAAAATGGCCCTAATAAGCTATCAAGATTCTGAATCCAGCCTTAACAAATTTTATCCTAGGTATATTTTTTAGGATAATTTTACTGATAACTATTCTCTTGCAGTTTTTGGGGTCGTAACATATTCCGAATTCATCAATTTTGCCAATTTTTAGAAAAAATCAAGTTTTACAACTAATTTTATTAGCTGGGGTCAGCATCATAGGTGATCGGTATTTTTTGGGGAGAAAGCCTGAGGGAAAAGCTTTCACCTTTGTTTCATTCATACCAAAAGTCCCGTCTCCAGGGAAAATCTTAAGGTCAAAGGTAAAAGCTTTACCCTTTTCCCTTTCCCTCGGGGAAAGGCAAATGCCGAAAATTTTATTCATATATTTTGGGTCATTTCCCCCAATTTTTGCGGAAAAAGGATTTCGCTGGTTTTATTCATACCAGTAATAATAAGTAACGGGAAAATGCATGAAGGTTCACCTGCATGAAAAGTGAAATGATGCATGTGTATGCAATGCCTAGCGGAGAACTGAGCAACCAACACAGTTCAGTCACTCGCTCTTGCTACCAGCTCACACTGAGGAGTAGGAAGTCAGAGGTTGTCAACACCAGATTTTGATGCCTTTTGGATATGTTGTAGTACTATATGAGTGTACGAAAAGTGAAGAAGGGTTTTACTCCATGGCCCCATTTGCGCCCGCCACACCCCCTCAATGGTGGGCCAAATGCTTAACTAGCTGGACTCAAAGCTTCGCCAAAAATCCAATTTTGCTCGGATTTTCAAACTAATTACATATTCTTGATCCCAGATAGTTGCTGTATCATGTTCAATAGCAATCTCTACTTTTTTAAAATTTTCACTATTTTCGAAAATTTCCTGAGCAAGGGTTTGACTTGAAAAAATGTGAAATTTCAAAAAAGTTGAGCTTGCTATTGGATATGATTAAGCAACTATCTGGGACCACAAAAATGTAAATTTTTCCAAAATCTGAACAAAACTCGATTTTTGGCGATTTTTTATGTGCGGAAATTCTCGCTGTTTTTGCACCTTTGAGGGGGTGTGGCGGGCGCAAATGGGGCCATGGAGTAAAACCCTTCTTCACTTTTCGCACACTCATATAGTACTACAAGATATCCAAAAGGCATCAAAATCTGGCGTTGACAACCTGCGACCTTCTACTCCTGAGCTATGCACACAAAGCGTATGCAAACTATGTACGTGAAGCAGCACTCTTTTCCATTCACGGAGACTCCAGTCCGTATGCAGGAGTGTGCATTTACTTACATGAGATGCATGCTAAACTTGTAGTTTTAGTTCATAGTTTTATTTGTATGTTAGTTGTAAATAAGTATGAATGTTGATGTGTATGTAAGTTGAATGTAACTGTGTGTAAATGTTTGTATGCTTATGAACGGTAAATATGAATGCACGATTTATGTATGTAATTCAGAGAGCAAAGTTGTATTTATGAATACAACACGGTCATAATGTGACCATGCAGATCGTGACCGCTTCCATGAGTCCGACCTGCAAAATAAAAGCGACCACGGTCCACAGCGCCACCATCACGTACACAGGTCAATACTTGCACAATATTACACACACATACGTTGCATATCTCACTCTACCTCACGAGGAGAATTTGAGATTGCAATTAAATAATTGTATCAATTTGCCTCAATGTATAAATCTAAGCACATTACACACTAAACAATGTTGTAATAGTGCTATTATGGTCTGTGTATTTAAAGGATGCGACGCTGGCCATAAGTAATACACACAAAATTACGCATCATTTTAATTCACAAACCATAACTGTAAAATAAATCAAATCCTTATTATTAATATTAAAATTAACCTCATCTCTCCCAACATATTATTTTCAGTTAAGACAGTGACAGTTAAGACATCTAGCGGTGAATTAAAGAGGCCAATTGTTAAGCTATGTCTATTGCCAATTGAGCCAAGTGCAATGGAAGAAAGTGCACAGAAGTTGGTGGAAGTGTGTAAATAATCATGCATCACCCTCTGTATAAAATACATATGTTTGTATATGAGCATGTTAACTGAATATGAAAGTGCAACATGATGAAAAATAGTGAAGTAAATATGGACTAACGCAATTATGAATCGTTTATAGAAATGCAGAGATGAAAAATAAGTTAAGATGAACAATGAATAAAAGTGAAAAAATAAATCAAATCGTTATTATTTTAAAATTAATTTCATCTCTCCCAACATATTATTTTCATTAAAACTAATTGCCACACTAAAAAATTGCACCAAATTTTACTCACTAATTTTCCCATGAACTCCAACAGCCAAAAAAGAAGAGTGTCGAAATCTCGACCAATTGACATCTACAAAATTGGAGAAACAAATGTTGCTGCAGAGAAATTGCTACGGCTCACTGTGAAGTTGCTTGTTGACGGAATAATCCCAATGTCATTTTTTGAGATGGACTCAGCCTTTGAATTTACAAAGTGTAGGTGCATTTTCTAAATACTTGATGTTAAGGTCACTAATACAAAATATATAGCATGTTTATTTGCATTTCAGTTCTGAATCCAAATATCAAAATTCCGTCCAGAGATGAGCTTAGGAAGAAAACCATTCAAATCTTTGGAGAATTTAAGGCTACTTTGGCCTCTGAATTGAAGAAAATAGAATACGTTTGTATGACTGCCGACTGCTGGACTTCGAAAAACAAGAAACGATTTATGGGAGTTACTGCGCATTGGCTGGATAAGAATCTGACAAGAAAATCCGCTGTTCTTGCTCCCCGGCGATTTCCAGGCGACCACAGTTATGAAGCTATAGCAAATTTACTTTTCACCATTATGAAAGAGTTTGACCTGGATACTGCAAAGATTGTGTCCGTTGTTACAGACGATGGCTCCAATTTCGTCAAAGCGTTTGAGCAGTTGAATATAATCAAATCGGCGTTTGATAATCAGATTGGAGGAGATGATGAAGAAGATGACGTAATTCATGAAGAAATTTTCAATGTAATGCAAAACGAAGACTCTTGTCAACTCCCAAATCATTCACGCTGAATCATTCACAAGGCGTTATTGCACACACTCTTTCGTTGGTGTCCAATAACGCCTTGGATATGGTAAACAAATGCTTAAAAATGTACTCTTTTACGTCCGGTTTATACTTTCGCCGTTCGTCGCTAAATGAAATGGTTGGGGTGGCAATAATTTTCCTATCCCTCCCATGTTATTGAGCGGCGAAAATATAAACTGGCGTTAAAGTAAATGTTCTAAATATCAATTATAAATATCAATTATAGATGAGCGATAAACGAGCCATGAATTCAGCATTTGGTAAATGCTCGGCCATATGGACTCGTTCCTCACCGCCCAAGTCTCACGAGATAATTATTGGGATAAGTAATAAATCAATTATTCCACCGTGCGCGACAAGATGGAATTCAAAATACGATTCAGTATGCTGACTATTCGCGGATTAAATTAAGGACAAATTGGACGAAGTGTGCGATGCACTTAATTTGACAAAATTCACAAAAGCCGATCTCGACTTCCTAAATGCTTATACAAATGTATTTGAACCAATATGCTCCTCGTTGGATACATTGCAAGGAGAAAAAGAGATTTTCTTGGCTGACCTCGCACCTTAACTGCTTGGAATCTTGGAATGTTTGAAGGATTCGAAGATTCAAAATAACAAACATGTGAAGGCTATGGCGGAGTCATAAAAAAATCGAAAAACCAATTGAAAAAAAGATTTGGATGGCTGACGGATTTTGGCGACGGGGCGGAACCTTTCATCATGGCTACAATGACACATCCGCTCTTCAAGCTTAAAGTGATTCCTCCACAATTTTTGGAACAATGTAAAACAATATTCAAGAAATATGCCATCAATTTTCAGGAAGAGTTAGACAAGCACGGTGCCAGGTGTAACGAGGCAGAAAAGCCGCACGAGCTCATCCCTCCTCTGTTGAAAAAGGTGAATCGGTTTGCCATGTTCGATGGCGACGGTAAAAGTGACGACGGTGTTGTTACAGGAACCATAAATAGCCGCAATAAGGCTGAGGCAGAGGTTGCTGCTTACCTCAATCATTCTGGAAGAACGTTTGATTCGTTGTCGTCATTTCCTTTGATTATGAAACTATTTCGTCGCTACAACACTGAAATTCCTTCATGAGCCCCCGTGGAATGAGTTTTTAGCTATAGCGGATTAATAATGAGCCCACAAAGAAACAAAATGTTGGACAATTTGTTTGAGTCACTTGCCGTTTTGAAATGTAATTCGGTGTTGTCAAAATAACGAGTGATTAATGGAGGATGTAATATTTCTTTGATAGAGCTTTATTGAACGTTTGCTTTCTCCTAGTATGGCGCTGATTCATGAAAATTTAAGAGATTTGGGAAATGTAGTTGAAAAGTAGTTGAAATGTAGTTAGTAGCTAGTGGCTAAACTAAAAGAAGTAGTTGAAAATATAGTTGAAATTCAACTACTTTCATGCAAAGTAGTTGTATTTGTAGCTCAACTACTTTCATGAGTAGCTATACAACACTGACTATACGTTAACAAGTTCCACGTGAAAATATAAACATTTTACGTATACGACGTATCAAGGTTGCTGCTCAACATTTATCCAGATATTCGTAAATTTGCCCATGGTACACTCTAAATAAAAGTTGTGGAAAATTTCCCCAAGGTTGAGTAAAAAAGAGGGTGACACAACAATTGGGTAAAATTTACACAACGGTTGTGCAAAATTTATTCAACTTGTGTAAAATTTATCCAATTGTTGTGTCATCCTCTTTTTTACTCAACCTTAGGGAAATTTTAGTTATTTTTATTTAGAGTGTATCTGTCAAGGCCGTACCAAAGCACGAAATGGTTTTGTACCTACATATTGTTAAAATGAATTTTTGCATTCCCGGCTAAATATTGAGACACCTTATCAAGGTGGAAATAGGTTACGTAATAACCAACAATAATAAAAAAATGAGTTCTAAATTACAAAATATTGTTGTTTTTTCTTGTCCCGGCAACGTGTCTCACTCTACCCCTTTGCGGCGGGTCGTCCTCGCCCTCATCACTGTCGAGATTACTATTTCTTAAAAGCGATGCCAGCATTGCCGTGTTATTACGTCTGGCATGAAGTTCAGCCATTGGGTCCGACAGGAGGCCCGCCAGGCTGTTGGAAGTCTATGGCTTGGATCTAGGCTCGTCATGACCGCCATGTCGTTGTAGCTGACAAGTTAGTTCTTGGATCGTTCGTTTCTGCTGTTGCACAATTTGTTCCAAATTTTGGATCTTTTGCCCCTGTTTCCGCAAATTTTATGTTCTGTCCAAGTTTCCGAAGGAGTTCTTCCTCTCTTTGGCGACAGTTCTGGTAAAAAATTGAATATTTACATATTTAATTAAATGATTTAATTTTATTAATAGTTTGTACGGCATGTGAGGGTTCGGAAGTGTGTTCCAGGGATCTTATCAAGTTTCCAGGAGACGTTGGGTTAGCCGACTTTTGTAAAACTTTGGCATTTTTCTTGCTTAGTTTTCGTCTGAGTGACAAAATGCGGTGTTGACATTCCTTACATTTATAAAGGTTTGGGGTAAAATTTAAATAATTGAATAAACTAACAATGCGACGGTGTGAAGTGTAACGCCCCAATTTGGCTGAAATTTAAAATTATTTGGCCCAACTTAATATAACTTACGTTTCTTGAGGCAGTTTGTGCGATGGTGGGATTTGGTCAAAATATTTGAGCTCAAATTTGAAAAAATTGGCGATTTTTCCCTTTGAAAGGCATGGGCGTAGAGTTTAATTCCTCCGCTTGGCAAAAATCGCCCGTTTTTTGATCTTCGACCTCAAATATTTTGACCAATTCCAACCATCGCACAAACTGCCGCAAGAACCGGTACTTGTATTGAGTTGGACCACATAATCTTAAAATTTCAGCCAAATCGGAGGGTTACACCATCGCATTGTAACTTAGAAGATATTATATTTACCAAATCCACCCCTGGACCTAGGGCAAGTGTATTGTTGTTAAACTGAGTTGTTTGGGAATCCATTTTTGCAAATGTTCGTGAGACACGTAGAAATTTAACTACTATCTTACGGGAACTTTTGCAGTAAACTCTAATTGTAATCGTAATAAGTTTAGGATTACAATTAGACAATTTTAAATTTATTGGTGGGTTTATGCCAATTTTTTGAGACACATTTAACACAAGATTGCAAAAATTTATTGTTCTAAATTCACCAATTCGTTATTTCCAATGTGAGTCAGGAGTGCAATATTATTCTCCATGCGCCAGCAAACAGAGAATGGAAAGTGTGTAAAAAGCAGGCCATTAATTCTACGCAGTTGGGAATTAGACCAACGTTGATGGCTTGTGGAGCAGGTGAAACCAAGAAAAAAAACATCTCGAGGTCACTCTCATGAATGAGAGTTCCTGGTAATGAGATAGTAAATACGCTTCGTGGTAAAAAAGGGTTGTTTAATTTTGCGCTTAATATTTTAGCCTACCTTTGCACATACGTAATTTATGCTAGCTTAGGAACTGACAATGGAGATCTCCCAACGTATGCTTACAGATTAGGACCAAACTAGTGTGAATTAATCACAAATTAAATTAGTATGAAATTTGCAAATGAAAATATCTGCCAATGCACAGGTTTGGCGGAGATATTTGCATCCAAAGCGGGAAAAATGCGCAGCAAATTTCGAAAATGAAAAATTTTCCAGCCTTCGGGGTGCATTTTCTCCTCTTTTTATGCAAATATCTTCGCTAAACTTGCGCATTGGCAGATAGTTCCATTTGGTAATTTCATACTAATAATATTTTTGATCGGTGGACACTGGTTTGGTCCAAATCTGTGAGCATACGTTGGGAGACCTCCTTTGTGAGATGTGAGTAATAGTGATGAACTGGAATGTATGTAATTGAGAATTTAATTAGAAAAATTCTACAGAAATTCATGAAAATTTAGGTAGGATAATTTATTGAAAAGAACACTAACTACATATAGCTCCAAATTTTAATAATGACACAAATTACAATAACGTCTCGTCCATGACGATGTTGATTGTTAATTAGTCCTTAAAATCCCACGTGACTTTTAGCGAAGTTCCGCCGTCTTTGGAGAGTTTCTTGAATGCAGCGTCGGACAATGCAATATCCGGAATTTTGCAGCCATGTATACATTTCGTGTACACCTTGGCAATGACGCTTTTCTCCTTGGAACTTTCCAATTCTGTAATTTTAACGGATCTCGCACAATTTAGATCTTTCGTGGGATTTGGATGTTTCCAATGTTTTTGGTGAAGCGCTGCAACGAGATCGGAATCCTTTGCCTCGAATTCAGGTCCACAAACGGATTTCCCCACGTCAAAAGTTATTGCTTGTCCGGTCACTAATTTTTGAAAAATTTTACATATATTTTATTTTATGTATGCATACACTTTCATCCATGTAAGTATGTATGATAATTATAAGACTAAATAGTCAATTTAGAAAAAGTATATTATATAATAATTAGTAAGCAGCGTAATCGTAATTATAATCGTGTTAAATTATATAATCTTTATGACCCGTGTGTTCCAATGCCAAATATCTGGGAGACGTGTGTCTAACTTTTTGATTGCATTGCTTTGCCCACGAAACAATCCGTGCGTTGGTTTCTTGCAAGAATGTCTGATAACACAATTTAACCTCTTTTCACTTAAATTCGTCATATGACGTATTTAAAAAAATGTCCCTAAGAGACCAAATACGTCATATCATGTATTTTTTCAAAAATGCATATCTCACAAGATTTCTGAAATACGAGTGTTTCTTTGGTAATTTGTGGAAAACTCGAAGGTAAAAAGTTGACTTTTCTGGATATTTTTCTACACAAATTTTGGATTTTTCGCTATACCGACCAATGTTAAAAAGTGAAGTTTTCGTGATTTTCGTCAAAAACTCAAAACTTGGAAACTGGTTGAAATAAATATTGGGTTTTTACAGAAAATCATGGAAATTCAATTGGTTGCTAGCAGATGTAGTTATGAATTTAATAACGGAAATTTTAATCTAGATAAATAAAGTTGAAAGAGGCTAATAATTTGTGGCAATGGACAGAAAAAATATCAGAATGTGAAAACACATGACAGCAAACAAAAGCTCAAATTTAATATTTTTTAGGTATTTCAGAAAATATCCTGACCAGGTATGTATGCATTTTTAACAAGTTGGAATTTTCAAGATTTTTGATATTGAATTTGATTCTACACTTATAAATCTGCGGTAACTTTTTGCAATCTGGAGACGTGCCAATCAAGGTCTCGTATTTTTAGCTGGCACACAACCGCTTTGCTGTTGGGAAAGAATAAGAAAAAAACCGTCCGGGTAAAATTACGATTCTCAACTTGACACAATTTACTAGTTGGTTCGAGTTAATTATTCATTTAGTAAAATAATATTCACACAAATTTTCCAAAAATAAACATTCCTTGTAACATTTCCAGAAATATAAATATTTCGCATATATTTTGCGCTGTTTTAATAAAAATGTAACCAAAATATTGCAGAATTTTAAATAAACACATAACCGGAATCGAATAATGATTCGTGTATTTAGTTAAACTTGCAAAAATAAAAATAAAATTTCCCGAGGAATCGAACCTGGGTAGCTTTGACTTATTTAAATTGTGACAAGGAATGTGTATTCTTACGCTGAAGGTCATATATGGAACGCGAGGGGGTTCCGGCTCCGGGTCCTGGAACGCCTTCAAGATGTGGGGGCCGAGAAGTAACAAAGAAATAATAAACAGTCCCCACGCGAACCTTTGTGTTCCTGGGGTAAACCCATCGCCCCCCATTTTCTCAGGATACCCGTCCACAACCATGGTGATGAATAATTTAAGCAACTTTGAAAATGAAAATGTGCTATGGGACCTGGGAAACAAATGGCATGAGTTTCTCGAGTAGTTGGGACTGTAGTGGAAATAAACCGTTACAAACGACTGTAATCAAGGGGTGAAACAAAGTTATGTATTTGTTTGCATGCGAATTGAATTAAATTTGAATTGTTGTCGAGTCTCGACTATTCAATTATGAATTTGTCATCAATCTTGATTATACAAAAAGTTCGACATTTTCGACCTTTGGCGTCGTCTACACGGTCACCATGTCGACGCACGTCAAAATCTTGTCGATTTTTGAAATCCCCGCCTCAAAATATGTCTCCGTGGAAACAAAAATTTCGACATGTTTTACCATTGACCTTATTAATGTGACCTATTGACCTACGGCGCCCAAATTCTAATCAGTTCCTCCCCTTAACATAATGAGTTAGTGTCCAAAATTTCAAGTCTCTGTATCACTCCATTAGAGAGTTATCGAACCAACCGAAGGACGGACAGACAGACATACAGACGGACAGACGGACGGACGGACGGACATAACAAAAGTGTAAAGGGGTTTCACCCCTTAATAATGGAATCGTAGCCAATCCAATGTATTATTATCTCGTTAAAAGCTGGAGGAGAGATGTGATTCTATTCCTGTCAGTGTGCGGCTTTGAAAATAACAGGGGAAGGGGAAGAGTTGTCAGGAAATGGTGCAACTAGTCCCAGTAGACGATCTGTAATAAGATTTTATTTAGTTTGGGTTTTAATTCTAGTTAGAATGACGGGGAAGTTGATTAAATGCAAGTGAGGATGGTTTGGTCTGGTGTAATGTGTGGAGGAAAGGAATTGAGATTTGATAAAGGAATGGAATTATGTATAGATATGTAGCACAGTTTAGACAGTGGGTATGGTTGAGGTGAGTAGATAGATAGGTGTACGTAGAAACTAGCATTGATCAGAATTGATCCACTTGGTGGATGACGTTACTCACTTTCACCGGGTAGCGAGCTTCCCGTCCTGCAACACTTACCATCAGGGGGGTTGGGGGAGGGGGAGGACCGCCAGCCTCTAGGGGGTGCGGCTGTACTTTGACTTTGTCTCTGAAATCTCGACAGCATTGAAATTTTTCATGGTTGCTACTGGTTACGCTTAGGAGACAGACATTTCGTTAGAAAACAAAATGTTTATGAAAATGTTTACAAAGTCAAGTCACGTCAAAAGTGTGTCAACTTACAAACCTAACGCAGTTGCGTAGTTACAAACTTGACGTGATATCCTTCTTGTGAAGGAAACTTTATGAAATAAAATAAATAAAAATGATTTTTGAGCCATTTTCGGCCAAAACGTAGCCACAATTTAACAAACTTCTATTTCTGACGGGAACGGAATCTTTTGACCCCACGTTTTCTCGGGAGTTATCAATGTGGTCGAGATTTTCGGGATAAGGTCAAAACTGAATCAGTCAGCCCATCAGGTCTGCAAAAATAAAATAAATATACATTGGGGGTATACACGTCAACTTCGTAAATAGCGTAAATTTACGGCATTTACGAAAATTCCACCGTGTAACGACGGTCTCAGTAGATACTTAAAAACATGACACGACCTGCACCTCAAAAGTATCCCTTGTTAGTTATCTAACTGTGGATTCACACAAAATAAGAGTTCCATACCTTCTTACCACAGTCACATTCGTGATAAACGTGGTAAACGTCAAAGGCAGCGTAAATGTATTACATATAGAGAAATTCCATGGTTACAAGGTGGAATCTGCGTAAATTTCGTAAATTTATGCTATTTACTAACAATGACGATGTGTTAGGTGGTTATCGCCGATATCGACCGGACTAATTTTAAATTGTTCACACTTAAAAATATGTGGACCCGTATTTTTTCTTTTTCCTGAATGGGCATGTTTACGCCCTTGGCGGAATTTTCAAAAGAAATTTCAGCCAAAATCCGGATTTTTAAAAACGCTGTAAGTTTTCGAATTTTAACCTGATTTCAAAAGTTAAGCCCACTTTTTGCTCAGAATTAGTTCCCTGAAATTATATAAATTCATTTTTTTTAATTTTAAAAATTTGACGTTTTAATGCCATTTCTGAATTTTTAAAAATTCTGAAAACCATAATTTTTTGTTAAATTAAAAGTTTTTAAAAAACGAATTTATATAATTTTCAGGGAACCAATTCTGAGCAAAAATTGGGCTTAACTTTTGAAATCGGGTTAAAATTCGAAAAGTTACAGCGTTTTTAAAAATCCGGATTTTGGCTGAAATTTTTTTTGAAAATTCCGCCACGGGCGTAAACATGCCCATTCAGGATAAAGAAAAAATACGGGTCCACTTATTTTTAAGTCTAAACAATTTAAAATTAGTCCGGTCGATATCGGCGATAACCACCTAAAACCGTCGCATTGTAAGTTGACGTGAATAACCCCAATGTATTTTTATTTTATGTTTTGGCCACCTGCTGGGCCGACAGATTCAATTTTGACCTTATCACTAAAATCTCGACCGCATTGATAACTCCCAAGAAAACGTGGGGTCAAAAGATTCCGTTCCCTAATTTTCTTAAATTGTGGATAAGTTTCGACCGAAAATGGCTGAAAAGCATTTTTACTTATTTTATTTCATAAATATTTCTTCGAAAGAAGGATTTCACTTCATGTTTGTAACTACGTAACTGCGTTAGGTTTGTAAGTTGACACACGTTTGACGTGACTTGACTTTGTAAACATTTTCGTAGACATTTTTTGCTAACAAACTGTATCATCAGCGTAACTTTGAAAAATTTCTTTGCGCTGAAGATTTCAGGGATACGGTAAAATTTGAATAGGTCGGCCCGGCCGGTGTGCAAGATAAAATAAAAATACATTGGGGGTATTCACGTCAACTTCGTAAATAGCGTAAATAGCTTAAAATAGCATATGCATTTGCAAATGGATAAAAAGGGTGGCGGCGGTGGCGACAGGTTAGGTTAGGACAGAACTGCTGGTGGGTGGTGGGTGGGTATTGGTGGATGGTGGCCATTGTTCCCTTCTCGGAGAAAGATACGTGACGCAATCAGAGCTCGGCCGGTACTTTGATATTGGAGGTACGGTACGGCCGGATATTTGGATATTGGAGGGCGAGAAAATGTTATGGATATGGAGGTTTGGATATTGGAGGGCGAGATTTCTTGATGGATATGGATATGGATACGGATATTTGGATATGGAGGGCGAGATTTTAACATGTAAATATCCATATGGATATGGATATTTGGATATGGAGGGCAAGAAATTTTTATGGATATGGACACTTGGAGGTTGGAGGGCGAGAAATTTTTTTTGGATATGGAGGTTTGGATATTGGAGGGCGAGATTTTGGCTTGGATATGGATACGGATATTTGGAGGTTTTCCTCCAATATCCGCCGAGCTCTGGACGCAATCAACGAAATAGATTAAGTCATGCCAGTTACAACTATATGCAATATATGTATGTCTGTATGCAATGTAATGAAATGCAATCAAATGTAATGAAATGTAATGAAATGCATTGCAATGCAATTACAATGTAGGTATGCCCACCCCTGGGAAATGCTGCAGCATTGCATACGAATATGAAAAAAATGCCGCATGCAAAAGAAATACATGTGTAGATTGGAAATGAGCGTGGGTGATAGCCGCACCCCCTGCTTTCGGTTGGTAAGTGGTAAGTGGGGGGGGGGTGGTTATTGGTGCTCTCCGCCCAAGACACTCAATCCATACAAGTTTCATATACATATATGGAATGTGTGTGCATGTATGTACTTATGCAATCCGATGCAGTATATGTAATTTGTGGATATAATTTTTGCATATGCGTTCTGGCGGCCGCCCCGCTGGCCATCGTTGCTCCTTTCCCGACGCACACGCTCGGAGAAAGCGAGTTACGTTATTAATCAATTCCGGTAAATGGTAGTTTCTACGTACACCTATCTATTGAGGTGCTGGGTTTAAAGGAATGCGAAATACATACCAGATTAAGCTACAGATCTGGGATGAAATTTAGATATTTGAATTTTGGAGTTAATTAATTTTAGTGATTAAGTGATAACATGTTATGGGTAGTGTTACAAGTGGCTTTTTGCCAGACTGCGGGAAGAAGTGGGAAAAAGGCACTTTTTCCTAATCACCAAAATAAGTATGAAATGGGCAAAAGTTAGTTCTTATGCAGATTACATTGGGTGGATGGCGCTCCGTTTTTCCGAATTATTCAATGGGGAGGAGTGGTGGTTAAAACCACATTTCCCAACTGTCCTGGGAAAAATTGTTTTAAGCGGGAAATATGCAACACTTGGGTATTTAGGGAGTATTTTATTTAAAAAATTATTATTTTAAAATTTTCTGTCGTTATGCAACTTGTGCATTTGCAATTATTTGGCGTGTCACAATCAGATTCAATTATCATGTCGAATTCTTCGGTGAGGACGAAATGCTTAGGAACTTGATGCACACTTCATCTTCTGAAAGACAAATGATTAAAGGGTGCGTATTAATAAAGTAAGCAAGTTTGCTAAATGAGTTGCGATGCGAAATAAGACGTTGTCGTGAGTACGCTCAATATAAGGGAAGTTCCATCCCCAGTAACATTTGGCTTTGTAAAACACACGTTAAACATACAGTAAAACTCATCATGTAAACGTTTGTATTTGCCCCTTTTTACGGTATTGTTACCCTACTGCATGTCGGTACTGCTACTGTGCGTAAAAAAAGAGTAAAGATAATGACAATGCTTTAACTGTACGGGTACTAACAGTTGGACGCATTAGCAATACGTACAGAATATGCACGATTTACATATGTATATGTATTGCAGGTTACAAAAAACTACACACGTTTTACATGTCAGATTTACATGGGATTTATTTATTGCGCATTTTTATCGATTTTACATAAAGTTTAAACTATAATAAATTTCACTATTACTTAATATTTACCTGTGCACTAATAGAATTACAATCTAAATTGTACAGTGATGCAAAAAGCTTATTTTTAAAAAGAAGTCGCTTATTGCACTCGCTTGGACTGGAATGGACTTCCGTCAGGTTCTGAGAGGATCGCCAAGTTTCTGATCTTCGGTCTGTCTTGTCGAAAGTTCCTGCATAAAGACATAAATTAATATTGAACTTAAAGAAATTATGCAATTCATGATAATAGAGTTAAATAGCTTAAGCTTGCGATTTGATTTCAAAAACTCAATGGCAAATTGTTTTCAACTGGCATCGGATTCCAAATTAAATCAGATCGATTTTTCACTGTGGGTCCAGGAACAAAAATCTTCATCTTTGGATAACCATGTAGGTATAACTTCGTAACGTTGTTCAGTTTCAAAAAGTACAACTGAGAAATCCATTTATGGATTTCTAACCTTAACAACGGACTTATAAGTCAGTTGCGAACTTGCGGAGGACTGCCACACATCCTTGTAGTTTTAAATAATTAAATTTACTTGGATAAAAATAATTTGCTGGAAAGAGCAAACCTGAACAAACTAAACTAGCTGCCTGCCTGGCTGCGCTGGTGAAAATTTAAAATGGCGAGTGACGAGAAACTCTGTACTGGATATGCACCATATACATATTATATTTACCACCGTGTTGGACACCACAGTTCCCGTACATTAACTGCACACATTATTTCGTCCTAATTACATCATGAAAATGTCATCACATAAGCCATGCGGATGTCGTACCAAGGTGTTCATTAAGCAAATTCATGCATTATTTCTGTACATGAAATTACTTAATGTTATCGTTATTGACTCATGCAATATGTTAACAGCAATGTTAACATATTGCAAATCCAGGTTGGGATAAATATGTACGTATTCAATAAAATTACGATACCAATTCTAACAGTAAGTATAATTACAACGCCAAATCAATATGTTCACATTATGAAAACATCACCAAGTGTTACTGGGGATTAATTAAGTCATGCTGGCTAATAATGGGAAGATAGGGGTTTTTCCCTATCCCACGTATGCTAGCCAGCGTGACATAATTTATGGATCTTCCCTAAAGTGAAATTGAAAATATTCTCACCAGGAGGTGCTCAGTGGGGTGACCCCACCGATTTTAGAGTGTTCTGGAGAAATTCTCGCCTAGAGGTATAGGGTCGTCGACAGCGATTTGTTTTAATCCTTAAATTTTGCGGAAATTTGGTTTGGAGATTGGTAATTTGCAGGCAACTAGGGTACAATCGAATGTATACACAGATCCAACACTAACCCATATCGATTATGTCTACATATCATATGGCTTCTCATGAAGAAACAGTAAGTTAACTTGCAATAATGTAACAGTTATCCGATGAAAAATAATCCAAGTGCTCAGCGGATACACATCCTGAGTCGGACAATCTAAACAATTACCTGCACACTGTAGGTTTTTACCATAATTACATGTCAAATTGTGATTATTCAATTAATTATTCGTATGTTAATTAATTACTGTTAATTAATTAATGTTATTTTTACATGCACTAAGAAGCTTTATTATACGTACGATTTTGTATGGCACGTGTCCCTTGAAATAAATCACAAATGTATGAATATTTCCGAATAGTTTTTATTTCAGTTATTCGTCATCTATCCTGCTACATTTTGGCGGTATGCTTTGGGTCACCATTCTGTTGGAGGATAAATCGGCGACCCAATCGTAACTTAGCAGCGGAGGGGCGTAGATTTCTCTTGAGTAAATCCAAGTAAATCACTTTGGTCATAATTAACTCGATGAATTCTACTTGTCTGGCTTCACCCTATGACATACTGCCCCAAACCATGACCCGTCCTGCAAAAAAGCACATTTTATACACCAGGTCTCAAAAATACACTCATTAAGTATTGCATTACCTCCACCATGTTTTACAGTTGGCCTGAGATTTTTAGTCTTAAAACCTTTTTTGGCTTTCCCCACACTTTAATAACTCCATCGGAACCAAAGAAGAGAATTTTGATCTGATAAATAACAAAATCAATGTTAGATCGTTATATATTACTTATTCACTTGTACTTAATCAAGGTAATGGTTAGTAAGATATATTATTTACTGGAAATAATACACAGACCTTTCTAATAACTTGGTTGGAATACGTTGTAGCTGAACTTATCGTATCATCTCACCTGAAAAAAATTAAGTGCTGATTGCAAATGCTTCATACAAATTAACAAATTACACGAACCCACAAAGAATGATATCACCTATGAATTCCATCCCTGATATGCTCCCCTATTGCATTGGTGGGTGTATATGTACATGTCCATCTCCATTGCTGTCCAAACATCCCAGCGTGCCCCCACTTTTGAATTGACACCCGCTAATACTCCACCTTTGAAATTTGTCCCCGTTGCATTGCCCCTGTCCTCATGTTGCTCTCGAGGCACATTCCTGTCGCCACGTTGCGCACGGTGCTTTCCTTGTAGAATTGCCATTGCTGGAAGTTGCCGCCATGCAAGACGATAGCGACCGGTAGTGTCGCTATCGAGGCAGAATTCAGCCGCAGAATTGGTAAGGCGACGACATTCTGCGGAAAAGGTGGTGGCAGCGAAGAGCAAGATGTTGAAATGGAGGTTGTACTTTATGATTGTTTTTGTGAGGATGGACAATTTAGTGTGAATAAAAAATTAGTGTAGGCTTCTCTTAAATATTCGAGTATTTTAGCGCAAAGGACTGTTTGTGGTTATTGGGAAGGTAAATAACTCCGTGGGGTTAACAGCTTTAGAAATGTGGCCAATTAGTAGTTTAGTAATTTCGCGATAAAATTATCATGGCATGGCCACATGTTAACCCACTAAGAGGTTGAATTATAGTTTCCTAAAATTTTGTAATAATTAGTATATTAAATCTTCTTGGTATTTGTAGATTAATGAATGTCATCCACAGGTATTGTGTCGACTTCAATCAAATTTAATATCAGTGTCGCAGTTATAACTAATGTGCTCGATTGAAGCATATAACTAATTGTTATCTTTATTCATTCTCCGCACTTTTAATACTTTTGACACAATTAAATAAAATAAATTTGATTGTACCAATAGTTTTTACTTCTCAGCATCACTGGGGCGAAACAATTGTTTAAAATAAGAAAAATATTTTTTTAATAATGTCTGTCATGGCGAGGTTTGCCTAGCGCGGTTTAGTAATTTAAACGTGAGACTCCTTTGGCTTCGCGGTATTTCTTTGCGTATAGTGAAATAATGAAAGGTTGGGTTTATGTAGGGTAGTAAGTTAATTGGTTATCTTGAATTTAAAATAATTAAACTTCTTAGACTTAGACTTATAAATAAAAAATAATTATTACTGTGAGATATTAGACGAAATTGTAAATATCATGCCTATGAAGCGATGAGTAGTACATATTTACAGAAATAAAATAATGTATCCATCCCCCGCAACATCTCAGGTACACAAAATGCTGAATGGACTTCCTGGAAATAAATGAGTACCGCCATTAATTTCCCATTTATTTAAAAGCTTCAAATACCCACCGGGAACGGAGAAATGTTGAAATTTTAAGAAGAGCTTGTAAAGCCCTGGCCTCGTAACGTTGTACCCGAGAGTAATTGTAGCATCCTCATTATACAGGAAGGTCAGCGTGGACATGGCGGGACCCACGAGGCGCGCGGAGAGACCACCTGACCAAAAAGCAGGTGTAAAAATTTAGCAGGCCATGGATGGGAAGGGGGAAATTGGGAATTACCTGAAATCCCGACCTTTCTGCCATCTAGAGTGATACTGTTATCCTGCCCAACCTTCCCTTTCGTGGTGGCACCTCCGCATACCATCTTCTTCACGTTGGAAGCCACGTCGCCCACAATTTTGCATTTGAAAGGGGATGCATATATGTGGTGACCTTTGTAGAGGATGTGGATCCTGTAGTCTCCTCCCACGATGGGGACAAAGGTCACGTTGACATTATTGTTGGAAAGTGTGACTAATTTGACATCAGGGGAGGAAGGACCTTCAAATCCGATTTGGAGTTGGGTAACGTCGTTCCCGGGTTCGGTGAGGATTAAGAATTTGTTGGGACCCTCTAAGAAATAATTTTTTTTAATTAGTGATAATTGAATATGTAGTTGTGTTTAAGGTTGTACGGCTCCCAGCTCTAGGGAATTTGAGGATTAAAAAAAAAGTTTAATACACTTTTAGGAAGTTGAAAATATTCGGGGAATTTTCAATATTGTTTAATTTTGACTTTTGATTTTGGAGAAAGTGTTGTATTGTTGAATTAAATGAAGTTTAATTGACAAGAAAAAATGAAGCCGGAAAATGTTAATTATTTGTTTAAATGCGTGACAAAATGTGAATATTTTTGTATATTAAAATCGGCCAGTAAGTTTCATATTGAATTTCATAGTCTCAAATTTGCCCGAAAAGTTTCCAATCTTTCCTCGAAATTGTATGAAAATTCTGGGAATTTAGCTATTAGGGAATATTACCATACTTGTTGGGAGTACAGTTATAAAATAATTATTAATAAAAATCATAATTAATAACAAATAATAACAAACATGGGAATATTCCCATGTTTGTTGGGAAAATTGTGGGGTAGGGGAGGTACGGGAAGGTTTCCCTGGGAAACTATTGAGTGAAATTTAATAGACTCTGAGATTATCTTAAATCCTGCAGTACAAATGTCTTAATTTAGCTTATCTTAATTTGTCCTGAGTTGAAATTTTTTAATGCAGAAATGTCTTAATATAGCCCAGTAAGTGGGAATCGTGCAACCCTAATTAGTTATTATACAGTCCATCACCGGCAAACCCGTTGTTTATGGCGGTTCCATAACACCGGATGTGATAAGCTTCGTCCATTTAAGAAACACAATTTCCTAAACACAATTTAAGAAATACAATGTCTCAAAAAAGGTTTCCGAAATGTGTCTAAATTTTTTAACGTCCTAACACCAAAAGACGACCCCAGAAAAATCAGAATAACAACTGTGCAACGAAGTGCAAGTAAATGTCTGTTTTAAACCAATATTCGATACAAACGCAAACTTTTCTTCTGCCAAATTCCTATCAGCCTCGAGGGAAGCGAGACATAAATCTTGTATCAGTATTGGATTAGTTTTATGTTACGTTAACTGATGGTCATGAGCATGAGGAGAATTCGAAGATGGGAAAGATTCGTACAGAGATTTGTACAGGACACGTTTTTTGGCTGACCTGTGTGCTGCACTGCGATTAATCCGTTCAGAGTGAGACTGACAGGGAGACACTTTTCCGAGGACGGTATCACTCTCGTAGGAAGACGGCAGAAAATAAATACCATCCAACATCCAAATCTTGCAAATCGTGGTATCACATTTCGTCATTCTTCAACCAAGGTATCATTAAACCCGGCACCTGGTATATTTCGTGCAAAAATACCATTTTGTTTCTTTTTTGACTTTATATTGGATCGAGAAGGGAAAAAGTCGAGTTGAGACGACATTTCTGTAACGTCTATAAAATAAATATGTATAAAAAATTAGTAAAACTTAGGAGAAGGGTAAATGATAAGTTTTGTGCATTAACGTATTGGTCGGATTTATTTTACAGATGGAAGGTTTAAGTCAGTGTTGCAGGTTTAAACCACTTTTTGCCAAACACTGGGAAAAAGACACTTTTTCCCACCCAAAAAAACAGTGGGAAATGGGAAAAAGTGTGCAAAATGTAGTTCTTATGCAGATTACACTAAATGGCGCGACTCCATACCGCTAGGTGGCGCTATGTTTTCCCTATTGCCAAGTGGGGAAAAGTAGTGTTTAAAACCACTTTTCCACACTATCCTGGGAAAAAGTGTTTTGGACGGGAAATATGCAACACTGGTTTAAGTTTTGAAATTAAAAGAGCTTATAGTTTAATTAATGCATTTACGATTTTTGAGCATATTGAATAACCCCGTGAGATGCAAAACGTCACACTAGTAACCGGTACAGCGTAGGAATTTATGGAAAGAACTGAATGGAGTTTGAATTTCAATTAAATTTGCATTTTTTCAAGTGATAGTCACGTGAAACTAACCATTTTGGCTGAGCAGAACGGTGGTATCAATATCCGAACATGACAAAATCTACGCTGAAATTCAAAACCTCGCAGTACAGCTTGGTTAGGTTAGGTTAGTTCAGGGCCTATCAGGTTAGGCCCGACCCAGGATTTGATCTAATACAAATTGAAAATAATATTTTAACATCGATATCAAACTGCGATTAATTAAAAATTTTGAGAACCAATGTGGGTTATACCATGTGTAGTCTTTATAGTTACCAAGTTTACTAATTCATGCCAAAATTCGTCAACTTTGAAAATTTTCTAAAAAAATTCGCAAGGGTCCCCACTTTTTCGGATAAATCGGTAAAAATATTTGCGACGCTTACCAGTGCAAAAGTTTTTTATTTATTTTCAAACCGATCTTCAAACTCTTACAAAGCATTACTCAACGATATTTAAGTCGAAGTTGGTCATAATCGGTCAAGGAATTCTCCCGTTTCAGAGAAATACGGACACGATATGGTTGAGCTAAAAAGTGCAGTCCGTCAAACATTTATGCTAATTTTGATAAATTTATGGGTTACCAGCTTTTTTGCGTCACCTAAGAAAAAAGTTTGGACACTGTTTGTTACCCTTGGCAGACAATTTGATGGAAACAAGTTAGTCGTGGAGCTTGGTTGTGTGTCGTAAAAACCTGTCAACGCCTCGAATTCTAAACAAACAAGAACAAAATCCCTCGTTGAGCAAGCCACCAGAGTTGAGAGTTGAGATGGATTTCCTTCCCTGATGAAGTATTTAATCTGCCATAAAATAATTCAAGGAGGAAGATAAGAATTTTGTAGTAAATGAGGATAGGGAATGAAGGAATAGATGGGTTTTTATCGCACCGTTGAACAGAGGCAACCATCCATGAATGAAAGTGGATTGATACATTTCTCCCAACATTTTTCTTACAATGCGATGGTGTGAAGTGTAACCCTCCGATTTGGCTGAAATTTTAAAATTATGTGGTCCAAGTCAATAAAACCTAAGTTTCTTGGCGCAGTTTGTGCGATGGTTGGAATTTGTCGAAATATTTGAGGTCAAGGTTGAAAAAAATGGACGATTTTTTTACTGAGCGGAGGAAGCAAAACCAATCTCCATTCCCTTGGAAGGAAAAATTTGCCCGTTTTTTAACTTTGACCTCAAATATTTTGACAAATTCCAACCATCGCACAAAGTGCCTCAAGGAACGTTGGTTGTATTGACTTGGACCACATAATTTTAAAACTTCACCCAAATCGGAGGGTGACACTTCACACCATCGCATTCTTAGAATTGCGATGGTGTGAAATGAAAGATGCGGAGACGGGATGCAGTGTAGCGAATCTTTGCGTATTTACAAGTATATTTTACCTGTCTACTAACCATTTGCAAATCTAAAATTAATGAAATACAGAAAATGATTAAATTTGTTTAAAACTTAATTTTAGTTTAGAAGGAAAGAATTGTACTAGTAAATACAAATGTATGGAAAATACAAATACGAATTTTGTATTTTCCCCGTAAAACTTGGAAATTTATTTTGAATTTTAAGCTGTATTGAAAATGCAGTATTTTCGTCAATAAACTTTAATGGATTTTAGATAGATTTTGCCATGTTTGATGTATCTGTATTTTGTATTCATGTATTTTGAACATCGTGTTGCTTTGATATTTTTTATTGTTTTTTGCAGTGATTTTCCATTTATTTTACTGATAATTTTATTTTCTAGAATTTCCAAGAACCCAAATGTTAAGAGAATGATTGACCGGTAATCTGACACATTCGATGATACACATACAGTTAGCACACTAATTATTCGACCACCTATAAAATTGAAATATATTCTACATTTTTGGATAAAATGATTCCAAATTTTGTAGAGCAGTGGTCCAAAAAGGTTGTCGAAGGATTACTGTCAAAATTTATAAAAATCTCAAAAAGGTTATAGATCATAATTTTCCCCCAAAAGGTCACTTTTCAGCAACCATAAGGAATTTTTCTTCGAACAAGCAATATTTTTGGTTATATAGCACTATTCAATCCTAACAATTTGATATGTCATTGTAGTATGTACCATTCTTTGTCGTCTCGCACTGATTTTTTTAAAAAGAGCTCGACGAAATTTTCTCCCATAAGCCCAATGTTATAAGTTCAGAACATCGCATCGAGCCATTCTTCAAAAAATCAGTGGGAAAATTATGATCTTTGATCTTTTTGAGATTTTTCCAAATTTTGATCGGAATCCTTCGACAATCTTTTTGGACTACTGCTATGCAAAATTTGTAATCATTTTGTCCAAAAATGTAGAATATATTTCAATTTTAAAGGTGATCGGATAATTAGTGTGCTAACTGTATGTATGTGTAACATATAAATATTTAGTATTTAATCACTCACTCTTATAAAAAATGTAGCATCGAAAAACGGGTTGACGTTCAGGGTAGCCGTAAATGGCAGTGGTCTCGAAAAGTTTTTAGTGGTTTTACTGTTTTACTTGTGTATACTTGACGTTAGTTTTTAATGATTTAATATTTTATTTATTATGCTATAATTTCAAGTTTGATTATTTTGTACGGTTAGGATTGCATTTATTTAAAAAAGTGGTGATATAAAATAATTGTCATTTATTTACTTCGTCGCAGGCTCCTTTATCGGATACCTAACAAAAATTGGTTTCGTACGCCCCGTGAAAGGATATATTTTGTTTGTCATGCAAGACCCGTCCATTCATCTGCATATACGTGCAAACACTTTGTACTCTTGTTACATAAGTATTTACACGTTTCATGGAAATGAGCATCCTCCAATAAATTACTGCATGAGTATGTGGGAATATAGTTTTTAAGAAAATTTAAATCTAAAAACTTCCTAATTAAACACGGTAACAAATTCGGATTTATCAATTTTATAAGAATTTCATCCTTACTGATTGATCCGGCTCGTTATAAAGTTTTAAGGATTATAGTAACAATGCATAAATATATTTATTGTGTTTGATAATGTTTAATTAATTCAGCCGATTCAGTAAATAAAACAAAACTTACAGTATGCAACTTCATTAACCCCGAGCCAGGGAATACATTTCAACGACAGACAGCTGGACAGACAGATGAATAAGTTGCTTGTTTCAAGTATTTTTGACGTAACCAACTAAACTTGAAAAAATTGAAGTCCCTTTAAATAGAACAGGAACCGGCGGGGGGTATCCACGACCCCCACGGGTCAACAGCTTGACCGATGTTGATCATCTTCGAACTTGACCCTCATTTTGGGCTAGTAAATAAGTGTGCAAAATTTCAAGTAAAGTTGTTCGGCCGCTATCGTGTAACAGACGGACGGACGGACATGGCCGTTACATAAGCCCTAGCTCGGGCTAAAAAGCAGCTCACTACGTATGCCTGATGAATCCATGGAAATAATTCGTGGGTGTATTTTTGGCCAAACTTGTTGGCCTCCCTCCAAGACATAACCTTGCAAAGCCAAATATGCAGTATTGAAAAGGACAGCGAAGTAAAATAAGCTGAGTCACATAACAGAAATATCAGATCTCAGTTTACAACCTTTCCATAGTTACATAAGTCTAAATAATAAATCAAATAGTAAATATTTGAAAATTTAATTGTGTGCAGGAAAATACTTAAAACAAATCATGAATCGGCGTTGTTCGGTTGTTCAAATTCTTACAATTATTATTGGTCTAGTTAATTTTGTAAGTGAGGAAAATTAAATACATAAATTTCGTTGTTTGGATATAAATAAATGATTTTTTTTACACAGAATCTATAGGTTTAAGAAAAGAACATTTGTTTCGTCATTTTACGACTAAATAACAAGAAATTTGGTGATTAGAAGGAAAATATAAAGAGATTTAAAGGAGGTCCATATTGTTTTAGTTAAAAATAAATTAGGAAATATTTATTAAAATTTTCTAAAGGAAGAAAATTTAGTTTATGTAGTTTTAAAAAAATCCTGAATCACGCAATATTTTTCTCAAACCTGTAAATTCTGTGGTACAAAAATTATCAAAAATTATCCAACGAACGTCAAAGATATTTTTTAAATACTCGAAATTATAGATGACTTAAATGTTTTTTTTAGATACTTGGTGTACCAATTCTTGTCCATAATTTCCTTGAGAACCATGACTACGGCGAAAATGAATCGAGGGAGGAAATAAATGGCGGTATAATTAATTAAAATTTCCCAGAAATGCATTCATAATTATTATAATATCAAATACATTTTTAGGTTGGAGTTGGACTGTATTTGACACAGTTAGGCTGACCGTGGTTTTGAGTCTTCTCCTACTTTTGACAAGTTCAAGTATCGGCTGCGTTTGGTCTGGATTTGAGACGAAATATCAAGAATTATTGGCAAGGGGGGCGCTAATTCTGCTAAAAATTTCTACCCTAATCTGCGCAGTGTATTGTCTGGCAATGTTCGTTCTCGGTTATCACTGGATTAATTTGATCCCCTTATTAGTTTGGGGGTGTGTGTGTCAATTGATATTTTGCGTCGTGATTTGGACCTACGTAAAGGAATTGACGGTAAGAAGAGGGGACAGTGAGTTGACGATCCCGCTGTGAAATATTACTCCTTGAAGAAAGTAAAATTTCGCATATTTGTTGTCGCCTGTAATAAAAATTGTATACATTATGGATTACAAGAATAAATTATTATTTAACAATTTACTCTAAAGCGTGTATGACGTGATAAAGAATTTCATAAAAGAATATTCATGATTTTTCATGATGAGTAGAATTGTAATTTTAACGTTATATACATATTAAAAAATAAGAGAGACATCTTATGTGCACACGCGTAGCAAATAATGTGTCATGAAAAGCGAATAGCAATGAAGGTCTTGGGGGGCCGTTAAAGTATTACGTAATCAAAAATTTGGCAAAATATTACTGATGGATATGTACCCGTCATCATATCTCCCAATGTTAAATTTAACATGGGAAGGGTAAGCCGATCAAAAGGACTGACTGGCTAAGTTGATTACGTAATACTTGAACGGTCCCTTGAGATACAAAATGAGAATGAAACTCGCTCGTCTTGGTTGCATGTGTATATTTGGTATAGTAAAAGATCAAACTGCGAGCTCCGAAGGCGCGAGCGGCTTGGGGCGCCTTATTTTTTTGCCCAGGTAAAATTTTGGGCAAGATCGGGGCCTGCGGTAATACAATAATAATATTGCATTACAATTATGGCTAATGCGACAAATTAATCCTATAATGCGTTACTTAATAAAATATACTTATAAAATAACTTGTTTTCAGGTTTTATCTGCTATATTAATTGCCACACCTAAGGGTGTTGTTTTGTAAAAATATTTATTATGCATGCATAATGCATAAAAATTCATAAAAGTGCATATTTCAAATGAAAAATTATGTTTAATATGACTTTAAAAACTCCAAAAGTCATATGAATCTCATTTTATTCTTACACAAGTGTTAAGCTGCCCTAGTCACTGTAGCAAGATGTAAATTAAAACTCGCTGAAACTGAAAGCTGCAAAACATTAAATACCTTATAATCGTGGGGGACAAAAATCCAAGGACGAAATATAAAAGAGTAGTATGGTTTAAAAATAAAAGCATTCAATCACAATGATCATGAAGAATTTTATAAAGGCTAAAGCGAAATGAAGATTATGATTTAATCATTTGCATTATTGTTGGGAAGGAGTGTCACTCATCAATCAATTTATCAGCTAATTTGAATATCATGTTCTGTAGGAGTTATCGCTATCCATCTTCACTTGCCTTATGTGTGTATGTTTTAGTGCCCACCTGAATTTCCGACTTTGGCGGTTTACCAAGTAGTCTCAATATGTACGCACGTGAAACTTTGCGACATAACTACGTGACCTTATAAAACTTAATTGGAAAAAAAATTAATAATATATTTCAAGGGGCCGTTAAGAAATTAAAAAAAGTGATGATTGTGGATGTTTTAATTCCCGCAGTGTAGTACACGTAATCAATGCAATACCAAAATTTAATTATATAAACAAACAACGTATTTAATTAAGATATATAACTAATGTACGTATTTTAAAGCTTCTGGAGAACACTTATAAAATTACCAACCGTTTTGCAATTTTTCATAATTTCAAGGCAATCATGTATGTATAAATCCTTGACATTAACTATGCTAAACACTGCATCAGAAAAGGTAACTCTAAACCAAAAATAATCACGATCAAAATAATCTACACACAATTTTTTTACGATGAAAAAACAATTATTATCCTGTGTTACTAAAATATCAGAAATTAAACCAAATTCTGGGTAAATATTTCCCATTGCTACGCAAACTACAAAGTTTAATTTATATTGATAGTTTCTATACCAGATCTTATTAGTTGTAGCTATCTCAGTTTGGATGTCACAATTTTCAAAACCTGACTGAGTTCTCAACAATTCAATCATGTCAAACGAATTCGATAATTGCGATAATTTTACACAATAAATATTATCAGCTGTAATGTCATCTTGGGTACAATTTCTAAACATTACGGAGCTATACTGCTGGTGTCGCATACTAACGAATAGCAAATATTTTTGAAATTTTTGAGGTTATTTGCTAGCTGGGCAAAATAATTTTGTTTGCCTTCAAACGTCATTGTCCATAGAGAAATTAATGGCCCTCATCGTCGAATTACAAAAGCATAATAAATCATAAAGTGGTGCTTGGGAATCAGCCGGTTTTCTGGAAAAGTTTTATGGTGGACAAAAATTAATTCGTTAAGCTCATCTAAACCAACCTCTGAAAATTGTCTAGAAAATACTAAGCGCATTATTTCCAAAAGTTGTACCAGCAATTCCCAATATTTTTTGTGAGCTGCACTAGTAATTAAGTCACCAATAATAACTGGTAAATGCTGAATCAAGCACCAGGCTTGTGCAGCTTTCTGGCCAATTTTGTTACCTTTAGTATCTAATCTAATTGGACTTGGTATATTTTGTGCATCAATGTATCCAAAATTATATGCCAATAATCGTTGATTGACGATATCTAAATCGAACACTCTAAACTAATTAATGCTTTAAAAACACGTTTAATCTCATTAGGCACGACACCTTCTAGCAAGTCGTGCATTATGTCTAGGGTTGGAACATTGAGAAAGTTAAAATATTGTAGCTCATTAAAAATACATGGGCGTTGAACGCCGTTGCTTTTTTCGAATAAATGTTGAGCGTAATTAATTCTATTCCTAACTACGGTTTGTCTATGTCTGAAAATAGTTTGGGCTTCATCCTTGGTAGTGCAACATATTCGACAATAGTTTTTGGAATTAAAAGACTCCCCTAAATACGTAAATACGTAGACTCCCCTAAATTATCAAAAACTAGCGTGCATACACTACCTAAAATGGTTCCCAGTCCTGTAACGGTAACACCAACGGTCTCTAATCTTTTCAAGTCTGGAAGCAAATATGCAAATATTGAATTGAGCCCATATTTCTTGGCATCTTCAGAATAAAAAAGCGCTAACAAATTTGACTTAATTCAGAATTTCGAAAATCTGGAAAATTTCTTAGTACAAAATAAATGCCACCTAGTTTATGAACTCAACGTTTGGACACTAAAGGATTGACTGTTTCGAACTCGTCATAGAAAATTTGAATCTGCAAAGAATTTGGTTTCTTTGAAAACAGTAAATTTTCTTTGAAACTCTGAGATGAACTATAACATGAATAATTTTTTGAATTTAAAAGTTGATCGGACTGAAAATACTTTTTGAAATTTGAAACCGAAAGAATTTTTTCCAAAGTTTTAAGTAATGATACATACATAAATGTATCTTCTACAATTACTTGCTTTCGTTTCAAATTGTTAATTTTGACTTCGACTCTACTACCTAACGAAATTTTTACAGGCAAAAGTAAGCTGTCATTTTTTTCGAAAAGTTTTTGCCTTTGATAAGCAGATTTTACTTTTTGAAATGCTTGCAGCAACGACCTTGTTTTCAAACTAAACGTCTCAAAATCCTTTTCACAAAATGGCTTACTAACTCTTAAAATTAACTCAAAAGTTTGTGAGAATGTATACAACAATTTTTTAACTATCAAATCAATAGCGGAATCAGTAATTCCAGTTGAAAGCAGGCAAAAGCAAAATTCACTAAGCTGTTCTACCAAATAATTTACGCCTAACTCTACTGAAATATTTTCTTCATCGTCAAACAAATCCTGCTGCTCATCTTTGGTTAATAAATTTGATTGACAACTTGCTACTGCTAAGTCTAATTCTATATCAGATTCAACATTTTTGTGCTTCTTAATATGACACAAGAATCCACTCCATGTAGCAATTTCGGTATAGCAATCAGAGTGAGGACACACCATTTCCCTAAAACTAAACTCCCCATAATTATGGCGATATGCAACATGGCTTTGAAATTCTCTATAACCGAGTACTAACTGACAATCTATACAACTAAACATTTTAAAAATAACTAAAATAACTCCTGCAGCTGGGTGAAGACTCTTCGTGGTAGCAGGGAATCCACTTCAAGTTTATAGATGTAGACTTGGAGAAATTTCCATAACCCTTTAAGGTTCACGTCGTAGTCAGTCCCAAATACGTAGTAGGCTTTGAAAAGGGAGTCGATTGCTTCTGTAGAACTTCTTGCATCCAATGGAAGACTTACGCCGTCACAGACAATAAAAAAGCTTGAAAGATTTGCAGTATCGTCCCCAATGCAAACTAAATTCGGCTGAGCTCTTTCTTTATTCCATGTGTCAAGAATGGAATTAAGAGGTGTCCCAGTCTGAAAAGATTAAATTATATTTTTATTAGAATATGAAAATGAATATTAATTTATCATTGACCGATTTTGAGCATACTTTGTAAAATGACAAAACACGTCCTATAGCATCGCAGTTCTTCAACATTTTGGTAAAAGTCTCATGTTACCCCAAAAATGGGTGTGGTCTGTAAGCGACACTGGGGGAGCGGTTTTTAGTACTAGGTGCGCACCGAGAGAACAGTCTGCCTCACCTGAACATAAATTTACGCCAAATGAGCTACCTTGGCCAGGATTTGCGAAATCGCCGAAGACCACGCCCACCGGGGGTGTGGTTTTAGTTAACTAGATGCGCCCATTTAAATCGTCTTTCGACGCTGAAAAAGAATTCGTGTCGCACGACATACTTTGCTGCAATACATCGGAAAGCGTTGATAACCACACTCATTACCAGTGGGGGTGTGGCAGAAATTCAAAATTGTCTATAAATGGCGTTTATAAATACTATACAATGGCACAACATAAATAAATTGTGTCTCATACGCCTCACAAGTTAATGATACACCAACCACCCCCACTTGTAATGGGTGTGGTTACCAGCGCTTTCCGATGTATTGCAGCAAAGTATGTCGTGCGACGTAAACGTGCTTAAACGTATTTGAAAAGTTTGATGCATTTGTGAACTTTTAAAGGCTCAAGACGAACGAGTGTTACCCAAAGGAATTAGCCGTGTATACAATACCAAAATTATTTCGTCTAGTTTCTCTGTCAGAACCTTAAACCATCATCCTCGTTTATAAGTATGTGCACTTCTTCTTGATTGTCTTTATTGGACATTAATCCAGAATATCTTATAGTAAACCGTATCCAAGTTTCAAACGAGCTTAAATCCCACCTAAATTTATCCTGCGTATTATTCACCCCGTCCATAATCCATCCTGTCAGTTTTTGAGATATCCCTCTTATAATTATCTTCGTCGGGAGGAACGAAGACGTTTCTGTGAATCAAAAAACTTTTGAAAGATTTACTAGCCATATATAAACTCAACTGCGAGATCAGCAAATGGTAAATTTGGTTACTTACGTAAGCTTCTCATTCATGTACCAAAACCTCAGTAACAATTCTTCCACCAAATTTGCGGTGATAAACAATGTCATGAAAATCATAATATTCATGAAAGCAATATCCAGAAAGTCCATATTGCCTATTTTTACTTGTAAGAACGTATAAATGTAGAAGAAAATTAAACTTTTTAACAACTTTGAGAAAAAAGGAATAAATTTCTGCACCCAGTATGCGTACTGGTATACATTCAGAATCTTACACTATAGGAGTAAATAAATGTCAACTGAAATTAAAGATACATGAGGTTGAGTTGAGGGGCATATATTACGGTGAATAGCGGAATAAAGACGGTTGAATTGGTTGCCAAAGAGACCCGACTACTTCCAAGTGTGCTTGTGCTAAGGTTGTTATTCGACGCTTTTCCCTGAAATGAGTGTTTGCGATCAGACTCTCGCTTCAATTTCTCTTTGTGAGTTTACCCGATTTCCTCGCGACTTTTAATCACTCCGCTTAAATCGAAATGCGTCTAATGATTGCATAAGATTGTGGCTTATGAAATTGTGTAGCGCCATGCTTTCAAAAATTGTATGAAAGGAATGTCAAATATCGCATAATAATCAATTGTGTGGTCAATTGTGTGACGCAACACAAAAATAATTTCTTAAGAATGGTGTTTAGGGCTCATGCTTGGAGAGAATGGAAAATGGGTCCATAAAAATGTGGAGAAACCCATTCCCCACATATCACATTGGGGCAGGGATGAAAACGGCGGTGGTGGCTCTCCCGTAAGAATAACATTGGTTGCTATGTCTCTGGTGCTCCCCATGATTCCCGAAAACTAATTATATCAAAAAATAGATAAAAAAAATTACCAACATTTTGAAATAAGAAAATTCCGCTACTATCCTGCCCAAAGGGGTGCTTTTAGGGGTCGAAATGCCTAGTATGCAGGTGGAGAAATTCCGTGCACAAACAAATTTCTAAGTAAACAAAGAAAAATGTGTAACCTTGCAGTTTTACGTAGATTTCGAAAATAATCATAACTGTATAGTTGCACATGTATTTACATAGAAATTTGTGTGTGCACGGAATTTCTCCACCTGCATACTAGGCATTTCGCCCGTATGTTCGACCCCTAAAAGCACCCCTTTGGGCAGGATAGCAGCAGATTTTTTTCTCAAAATGTTCGTAATTTCTTATCTATTTTTTGGTATAATTAAATTTCGGGATTCATGGGGAGCACCAGAGATATAGAAACACATGTTATTCTTACCGGCGAGCCACCAACGCCTGTTTCATTCCTGCCCCAATTTGCATACAGTCCGTTTATTTACGATACTACCCTCGACGTCACCACTGAAATCACTCTCAATACTAATAGCATTTCAGTAGTGACGTCGAGGGTCGTATCGTAAATAAAACGGTAGTGTGTATTTACGGATGCTTTTTCCATACTCACCAAAAACGAGTCCTAAACACCATGTTTCAGAAATTCAATGTCCCAGGCACAGTTAAGAAAAAAGTTTATTTCATATATATATATATGTATGATACATGATATATATGTATGTATATATATAGTGTGTTACCCCTGATTTGACACTTGACCTGTGATCTGGGCATACCCCCCAAAAGTTGGCTTTTAATCTGTAACATTGGCACGCCCACTAGACCTGACATTTGGCCTGTTACCTCAGCACACCTACACTGTAATTGACACTTAACCTATGACTTCCTAATTTAAATTTCCTACCGCCGCCACCATCCGGATGCTGGTTGTTTTCAGCGCTAGAGGGCGGGCTTTCGCTTCAAGTGCCTAAACGTTTTTAAAACGTTAGAATAATTGAACACTCCTTAGAATCGACTACGCTTGACCTCTTGATCTGAGACACCCCGTACCGTTGTGATAATCACATTGTTCTAAATTAAATATTATATGTAATAAATTAGTTATGGATCTTTGGTTTGAAATCAGCGGGTTAACCAGGTTGCTACTTTTGACAATGAAACTATTTAAAAAATCATTGCGTCAAAAGTGTCAATTAAATAAGTATCGTTAGACACCCACAATATACAATTTCATATAATGATTTATTTTTATAACTAACGGCAACAATTGAATAAATCTAATTTTCCGACAAACAATTCTTTTCCATAATTTAATCCACATTGTTTTTTCATTGAACAGGGTGGCCTATAAATGAGTAGTAAGGAAATCAGCCATCACAGTAAACATATCTTGAACATGTGCATCTGGCCAATCAGTATGACCTATTGGATATCTGGCGAACGCATTAGGTACTTGCAAAGAATCCAACTTTTCTTGTAGACTTGCCATCTGCCCAAAGGGCACAAGGACGTCCAAACTGCCGTAAAAACCGACAGTTGGAGGAGACCTCTCATCCACAAAGGTGATAGGACTTGTCTCATTCCAAAGGTGTGGATTTTCTTGGCAAGTATCGGGTCCAAGCAATTGCACAATGAATGGGTACGCTACGATGTTTTTGCAATAGAAGTCAACCATTAAATCCACTGGGCCAACATGTGATATGACAGCTTTAACGTCACGACTGGTTTGGTCCCATCGGTAACTGTAAAGTAACGCCAACAGGGCGCCAGCGGAATTTCCGAACACAGCAATAGAAAGATTGGTAGTAAAGCTGGATTTCAAAAATGCAATTACAGCCTTTATATCGTCCAGCTGTTTTGGAAATCCCGGACTTTCCGCGGATCCTGAGGAAATTTGATGGTTAGTTGAATTTTTAAGGTCATTGAACGGTTTTATATTCTTACCAAGTTGATAATTCATATTAGCAATTGCATAATCGGGCAATTTTTCACGAATAATTGCAACGTGCGGATTCAAATCCTCTTTCCTACCCATCCACCACGCACCACCGTGAAGCATTATGATGATTTTGTTTATCCGAATAGAATCATCATCTGGGATGTGCAAATCCAGTATTTGATCCTTATGTTCGCCATATGGAACATCTAGGACGACACGACCTATAAAAAGAAAGGCATCAGTCACCTTAGTATTTTGCAAATTAAGAACTTATTAGCCTCACTTTCGACGACGCAAAATAATATGGCAATCGTAAAGCCAATAAATGCAATTACATTCTTCATTTCTGCAAGCGATGTGTAAACCAAGCAAAATTGATAAATGGAATGAATGGATCATGCGACCTCTCCTGGTTTAATAGGTTTCTGAAGTGGTCGTGTCTACTGATTAGTAATTTCGCAATGGGGGTGCTATAGGGAAAAACAAGAGTGGCGAGAGCATGGTGCATAGTCCAAAGAACATCCCATAAACTCAAGAGCAGTCAATGTTTGCAGGAGCAAGATAAGGTTCAAATTAATTACAGAATGTTCACCCGGTATGGCATGATGAAGAATACTTATTCAAACTATATGTACTGTAATACCAACGTGGCATCGGTACCGTTGTACAAATTAAAACATGAAATTATGCAGTAAAACTCTTTGGTGCCATTAAATACACTACATATGCATAAGTTAGTGAAACATGTGGCTGAAAAACCATGGTAACAATTTAACAAAATGGGAGCAAAAATTATCATTCGCAAAAATTATCATTAATTATCAACTTTGTTAAGCAATAAATCGTTAAAAACGCAAATAACCAGTGGGTGCAACCAAGTGCTAGGCTTAATTACATTAATTAAGCAGCCATTTACAAGAAGGTAATAAATAGGCTTGACCCTAAAAATTACGGACCAATTTCCTTAGTAAATACCGGACGGAAATTGGTTTTCACTAATCGTATAAATGAATGGTGTGAGAAGAATGACGAAATCTCTCTATTTCAAGAAGCTTATAATGGAATGGGTTGTGAAGACCACATTGTCATGTTACATTCTATTCTGCAACATATTATTAGGAACAGTAGAGGAAAGTTGTACGCTTTACTGGTTGACCTTTGTTCCGTTTTAAACGTGTCAGGCATGACTAATTGTGGGACAAACTAAAATTAGCAGGGATGAGTAGCAAAATGCTATATACTGTGAAGAATATTTATGCGAACGCTAAGGCGAAAATCCGAAGCAGTGACGGTGAAAGTCATTTCTTTCCCTTCAAACGAGCAGTATCTCAAGGAGAAACCTTGACTCCCAAATTGTATACTTTGCATACCAATGACCTGTTTGACCTCATGCGTAATAGTTTGGAATTTTGAGTTTTATGAATTAGGACTGCCGAAATTCATTTTCTAAGCTACGCGGATGATTCTGCTAGCAACCAACGCCATTCATTTGAAAGAAAAAAATAATAATATACTAATATATATATATATAAAGAAATAACCTATCAGTTCAGCTTTGCATAGCCCGAACCAGGATTTTTTATACTCAAATCTGTCCCTCATCCCTTCCCATGAAATTAGCATGAAATTATTTGTTTAATTTTGTTCACATACTCGTGAGAAATCATTAATGATATCTATGACTTAATATGACTTAATATGACGCGAAAAGTTTAAACTTTTCGCGATCGTTTTTCCCTTTGGTGGGGGTCATCCTCTGGGGTCTCTCTAGTAGAAAAATTCTGAAATTTAGGTTTGTTTTCCGAGGACATACCTTCCTGAGGAAAACTGTGCCAAATTTCAGGTTTCTAAGACAAGTTTTGAAAATCGGTGGGGTCACCTCATAGGGTCCCTCCGGTCCAAATATTTTCAGATTTTACTTTATATTCGGAGTTTCTACGTCCATTAGTGCCAAAATGCCGAATTTCAGCCTTCTACGACGAGTTTTGAAAATCGGTGGGGGTCACCCATTAGGGTCCCTCTTGGTGTAAATTTTTCAAGTTTTATTTTTTACTCCGAGTTTATACCTCCATTGGTGCCAAAATACTGAATTTCAGCCTTCTACGACTAAATACTTCGAATATTCTTGACCAACGTCCCCATCCGACCTCTCTATACGACCCCCACCGGTCCAAATCTTTTTTGATCGAACCCATCTTCGAACTCGATCGTTGTGTTCCGCAGATACATGTTTCTGTCAAATTTGGTCAAAATCGGTCAACCCGTTTAAGAGTTGTCGAAAGACAGACAGACAGACAGACAAACAGATAGACAGAAATGACGATTACATAAGCCCTGGTTCGGGCTAAAAATAATATACTGGGCGAATATCCACCCGTTCCTTATTTTTATGTGCAATAATAAGCACTATTAAATGGATGGAAAGGAACAAATCAATGTTTCTGCTGTTAAAAAACACCTCCACAAAATTACTACATAATAAGGTTTTTTGCGTTTAATAATCATACGGAGGATATGTATGTACTTAAATTCCCCAAAATATGTATTTAATATGTACAAGAAAAACTCCAAAATATGTACGTAAATATGTACAAAAAAATCTGTAAAATCTGTACATAAATATTTTTCAACGGAATATTAGTAGTATATTTTATTCCCGAAAAAATTTTGTAATGTTTCAACTTAATTTTCACTCGTCATTTAGTGACTCAAAATGCGACACTAGTTCCATTTCTAAATGCTCGGGAGTTATTCCTTGGCGTCTATCGGAGAGCAAAAATTTGTGCATGCTGAAGCTTCTTTCAGCTTCAACCGATGTCATGGGGGCGTTACTGAATGACGCAACTTCTGCAGGATTTAGTAAAACCGGAATTTCTTCATCTGACTGTCCTTGAAGAATGGAAGAGATGTGTTTCAATTTATCAAGGTCCGGATTCTTGGTAATTACGGCCTTGTACTTTGCAATAACCGCTGCCCCAACATCCCCATTAATAATAAACAGCTTGTCCTCAATTTCTTCAAGATATTTTAGGGTTTGCTGCAAAGACCCACCATTTTCTTGAAACTCAGTCATCTTTTCAGCCAGAAAAGTGTAATTTAGTGAGATAAACACCAAATTTTTCGGAAGATCTTGGGATTGAATCAGGGTTTTCAAAGTATTTACTGATGCTGCGTCATTGTTAATAGTGTCGATAATCTCCTTGATCTCGTTGAAATGTTGTGCATAAAACTCAGTTGCTTCTAACCATGTGCCCCACCTTGTGATCACGGGGCTTGGTGGAAGAGCTAGGTCTGGATATTTTTCCTTGTAAATAGCAATCCTGCTTGGGGCTTTTCTGAACGCAGATTTCATATTTGCAACAAATTTATCGACGTCTGGGAAAAGGGAACGAATTTCCTCCGCAACTCGATTCATACCATGGGCCAGACATGTTACATGCAATAACTTGGAGTACAGAACCTTCAAGTTCTTCCCAGCCTTTAACATGTATTTCACTCCATCCGTAATAAATAGAAGAAATTTGGATTCAATTTGATCCTGCTTGCTTCCAGGCCATAAAATTCCTACAAGTTAAAAATAAAAGGGAGGTTAAACGAAGCATCTTTATATATTGACACATGTTAATGGCAATGGCATATGTTAAATTACCCAGTGCATCCAGGACAGTTTTGGTAATCGTAGCATTATTAGTTTTTTCCAATTGACGGGAACAAATCAGGTGACATTTGCTAGGGCCATCCTTTTTTAAAGCCCCAATTAAAACATTTGCAACATAGCGGCCACATTTATCAGTAGTTTCATCAATTGAAACCCAAATTGGGTTAGTGCCCACGTCTCGCCGAATCTTTTCTATGGCCTGGAAAGCACCATTTTTATTATATTCATTGACATAATGGGATATCATTATACTTGTTCTCTTACCTCTACATATATAGTTGGAAGATAATTCTTACGGAGTGTAGATTGGTCAGGAATAGACCGACCAGTATACTTTTCCAAAAAGTTTTCAAGAGCAGAATTTTGCAATTTCTTCCACGGTATTCCAGCTGACACAAAAGCGTAGCACATGTCTTTATAAAACGGTCGGTTGGAGTTCGACTCAACTGCTTCATTCAATAGTATTTGACGTTGCGGATCCAATGTAAATTTTTTCGCCAAGTTTTGATGCTTAGTGGTTCTGATGTGTTGTTCGAGCTGACTCTTTTGTTTAAATTCGAAACCAGCTTGACAAGCCTACATTGAATTACGGTAAAATTAAAATTATCCAACTGTTTAAATATGTATTAATTAAAACTCACCAAACAAATTAGTTTTCTACCGTCGATTTTTATTGTTGTTTAGGCCTTTCAACTCTTGAATCCAACTTGCATGAAGAGCTTTATGATCTTGCTTATGCTTTCCCATCGTTGAAAATTACTAAGTTGTCCAGAAACAATTATTTTTATCGAATTAAATTCGGAGTTAAAATACCCGAAAAGAAGACAACAATACGATATATTTTGTGTGGGAAGTTTACCATTACTCTTGGATTTTTACCAAATGCACGCAATGTAACGGAGAAAAACCCAAAATATGTGTAAAAATATTTATATTTACGAAATCTCCGAAATATGCATGAAAATATGTATATGCACGAAAACCTCAAAATATGTAATAATATTGAAAAATATGTTTGAATTTTTGGGGTCACACAGGTGTAAGAGGTTAACGTATAAAGTTTGGCGAAGTTTCATTTTGATTTGAAAAAGTCATAAATACATACATATCCTCCGTCTGTTAATAATACTAACCAAAAACCTGATAAAGTGCAAAAATGCACAAAAATAATTTAAATGCTCCCAATGCAATAAATTTACAAGCTTAATTTATTGGATCGATATTAAGCTATTTTATGACATTTCTCCGTCACTATTGATAATGTCTCTAAATATTTACGAATCCTCGAAGCTTTGACTTTTTCATTTCTAACTTTGTGTAATTTTTGATGTATCTAACATAATTTCGATACCTTCCTTCACCAAGCAAATTAGTTCCTTTGTCAAGATATTTCGGAGGAATGAGAAATAGTTAGATAATTCCCATTTGGTTTCCTTTTGTAGATTTTTGACGTGGGTTTGTGCATTTTTAGGAATTTTATGCACTTTTGTACATTTTATGGACAAAAATAATTGTGTGCGAACAAAAATAAGCACTGGAAAAAAGCGTCCCTCGAGAGACAAAGGGAATAGTTATGTATGTATTCTAGACAAACTTTCTTCTCTTCTTTCACTCTCAATTCCAACTTTCCCATTTCCACACAGGGAGGTGTTTAAGTCACTATAGAATGGAAAATTTTCATTAGCAAAAATAGTGGAAAATAGATAAAAACTTGCATAACTAATGGAGATTTAATT